TTATATTGAAACTTTCAGCTTCCAAAGCAGACAAAAGGACTCACTAGCATCTCGGAAGTTGAATATACAAGACTACAGTGTAGATGTTCAATTAGACAGATCTGGAAAACTCAATAAATCTACAAGATTCCCCCTTCGATGTGTGTCAGAAGATTCTTTGGTTAGTTGTCGAGGAGTGAAACCTTTCTGTTCAAGTGAACAGATGTCAGTGCGCTATCTGTGTTTAAATGAGATGGGATTCCATACTGACGAACTGAGAATGTTGGTCATCAATCACCGTTCTGCTCGTACAACAACAATAATAATTTGTTCATGGTAGTTAGTAACTTCAACCGTAAACAGAGACACTGTCTTAGTAGATGACTGTTGATATTAAACCGTTAACTGACACAGACAGACCACTTTCTTCAGGCCAGAGATGAAGAGAGTCAGTGAAAGATTGCCGTTTGTTTCGGAAACATCTGAGTTGTCGCCAGTGATGCCTATCCAGTATGCAACTGCCTGCCACAAAGGACGTGTACAGTGTTGCAGTTCACTTCGTCCTACTTTATAACTGTGAGAAACAACTGCTGAAATTAGAACATATAGAATAATTTCAAAGTTTCAGCAATGGTTATCCCTTCACGTTCCCAGTGGAACATAAGGTGTCAAGCTAGAGGCTTGAAGTTTCTGTAGCAGTGGTGTTTATTTTTACAGGATGGGGTTGCTAGCCTCATACCCAACCTTTCCTCTTCACCAGCTTTATTTCTGGCCTAGTGAGGTTTGGGAGTGCGTCGGTGGCCGGGGATCGAACCCCGGACCATGTGCACGGTCGGTGAGTATCCTAACCGCTGTGCCACCGACGCACAAAGTTCCAGCCTGAATTAGTTAGTGAAATATTAAAATTAAGCGTAAAGCGTTTGTTAATGAAGCTACGGGTCGATTGATGCAACTGTGAATTTTCATCGATCCGAGCGACTAAGACAAGTAGTGTTCATCCTCAACTACTGTCTTCTTCGGCGAGTAATGTTGCCTGGTATAGAGTTTTGTCAATAAATGGTCCGATTGAACCATAGCAAAATAAGAGTGTAGTCTATGAAGCCATGGCTGTCGTTGTTCTGTACAACGTTAGCAAGTGTAGACTGTTTGTGTTTGCTATCCTATGACATTTCACTTTCTGAAAATGTTGGCTAATCTTCACTTTTACTTATTCCCTTCTCCATACCTATGCCAGTTCATTGTAATATTATCTTATTTCTGCTATCTCTTTCTCTTCTCTGCTTTCCTTCTTTCTTGAAATGTGATCATTCGCAAATTCCATATGAATTCATTAGTCAATTCGTTATGTTTCTTAGCTTCCTGTAATTATAAGAAACACTCTTTAATTTTATGCATACGTTTTGTTCAATTAATTAATAAAATTTCTATTTTCATTGGATATTCCTGCACTGTGATTCCAGTTCACTCTTATTTCATCATTGGCATAATCTCATCCTATGTATTTCAAGTAATCTGTCTAGCTACCTACCTACTCTTATTTATTTATTTACTTTTTTTATTTTGAACTAAACAACACAATATAAGCGATGTGAAGGCAGGTTGAATTATCACCCTATATCAGTTACTAGTGTATATTTGAATAACGAGAAAAGAAATACTTTCACTTATAGAGTGTAAACAACTCTCTGTCTGTTTCTTTATCCCTTTTTTTCACACAATAATAATATAACAAGATTCTTATTCGTGGTATTTCAGTAAACAGTATGAATCATATATATATATATATGTCTACCCTTATGAATTGTAACCTGCAGACTAATAATCAATAAGCCATCAACAATTCTAGTCCTATCACTGTTGCACATTGAAACTCTTCACTATTGGTTTACATGGCTAAAGCGATTAAATAGTGTCGGTATACTGACTGATTGTTGTATAATGGAAACTTTTCGATTAAGCCAAGTGCTAATGGGCTAATTGCGTCTGTGCCGATTTCTTCATTATTTTGGAAGCCTATCTTATCTATGATATATATATATTATTCTAACTAGTTATCGTGATAGCATAAAAGATAGGATGTTTAGCATAAGATTCTCCATTGCTAAATCTAAGATAGTGCTGCAGGATTGGTATACACTGACTCCCAGTTCAAAGATAGGGAGCGAAGTAACCGTGAAGGGAGGGAGATTGAGTTTCAACCACTTCATTTATTTGGGAAGCTGCATCTACCCCCCTCCCTCCCCAGTAAACTGATTGCTGACGAAATCTCATATGGTATTCGCCAACTGACGTAATCTCTGGCGTAGGTAGCGTGATATGCCAGTGTCAGTAGGAGGACGTGTGTGAACTGCTCATCAGTTCATCCTGTCCTTCTTTTTATCTGTAAGACGTGGATGTTGAAAACAGCAGACCTGAAAAGGCTAGTTGTCTTTAACCACTGATATGTGTGTGTGTTAAGCAGTGTAATATACTGAGCAAAAATTGAGGTTAGAACTTGGGCACTGTGGTGGAATGCGACTCCATATTAGTTAAGTTTTCTTGAATTAACATACAGTGATGCAGTATTAATAACTGGATGACGTTTTGGACACAAATTACTGCTCATAATCATAACAGTTGATATTACTACTGCATTATTGTGTGTTATTTCAAATAAGCTTATCTAATATGGAACTGAGGTTAGACGTATACTGTTAGGTAAGGAGGATAAGTCACTTGAAGTTGTGCAACAGTAGTGATTGAGTTGGCTAGGATTCGACACATTACGCATGCCAAGTCATCGCCTTCCTCGTTGAACAGTGCCAGCTGACAAAGGAATAGTTTGTAAAAGAGTTATGAATAGTGAATTTGAAACCTGACATCAATCTATGAAGTATTTGACTGTTGCTATTAGCCAGCCATGTGTAGACTGCATGACTAGTATCGTCGAGACGCTAAGAATCAGCGCCTTCAGAATACTGGAGATACAGATCAAAGTTGTTGTCAGTGGCACTGATGCATTCACTCTTTGCAATCTACCAGAGCCATTAAATTCTTATGGTTTTCCATTTTACTATTCTTTTATTTTCGGTAAATTTCTGCTCATTTGCGGTTGTTTTCGATTTGGTTTTCATTTCTCTACTTTTTCTGCTATACTGGAGTGTGGAAAGTTGAACTACTGAACTTTTGTGAAAATTTTTAACGTTGAAATTCAGTCGAACGACCAGTGTAAAAGGCATAGTTCACCTATTCTGACCAACTAATGGTTATTTAAAAAAATTATATTATATTATGGTCAAAGTTTCCACTTTCAGCGGAGATCCAAAGTTATTATTTCCCAAATGAATGAAAAACAAAAAGAGATTTTTTTATTTGACGTTTCGCTATTTAGTGCTGCCATTTGCTTTGTCGAAGTAGCAACGTTAATAATAGAGAAGATTTGTAGCTCAGGTGGATGATTTGCAATTAGTAGTGTTCTCTGAGCTGGTTGATTTATTTGCGGAGCTTTTGTCGTCCTTCTGGACAACATCCCCTTTCAGCGCAATTTTCAGCATAAACTGAACTGATTTAAATTTTTTTCCATGAGTGATAGAATTGCGTCTCCCGGTAACCATCTTTACATATGTATTGATCATTTTTTTATTGACTCGGATTTTGAACTTTCTCGTCATATGATTTACTTTTTATTAGTTGGTATATTTGGTCTATATTAACATGTTTGTTAATTGCATATTCGTTTGAGTACCAGGCTTCTAGGAATTCCCTGACTGCACTTTTGGTGTTTCCTCTGTCTAAAATTTCGACATTATCCCAATCATCAAACTGATGTCCATAATTATCTATATGCATCGATATGAAAGAGTTTATATCATGTCTTTTCACAGCTGATTTGTGTTCCTTGATTCTGATTCGAAGGGGACGCCCACTTTGGCCGATGTAATGTCTGTTACAGTTCATACAATTTATTTTGTAAATGGTATTAATTTTATCTCCTTTTCTGTTGGATCTTTCGGTTTGCACAATATCCGTGAATGAAGTGATTTGACTGGCTTGTGTGCTATGTCTACTTCAAGCGGTTTCAAAATTCTAGCTGTTATTTCAGAGATATTTTTTGTATATGGTAGGATGAGTTTTTTGTGATCTTTGATGATGGTTCCTTGTTGGTGTTATGACTCGATTTTAAACACTTTTTGATGAAATTCTGCGGATATCCATTCTTTTTGAAGACCGTTAGTAGGTATTTTTCTTCCATTTACGAAATCTCAGCTTACATATACAGTAACTTAATTAATCAGCGTTCTTCAGCATCAAGTAATTTTTATGTTGTCAAGTTTGTCAGACGGTAGAGATAACAAAACCATGTGTAGATTGCCAGATTTGATAAGTGCATGAAATTATAAAAACAGCATGTGTTTACATAATGAAAGTTGTTTATCACATTCGGGTTGGTCTTGTGACTTCATGGTGTGTATGTGTTTGTGTGTGCATGCGTGTTGGAACAGGTTAAATCCTCTCTGAGTCCATCATTCCCATTCATAAAATTTGGATTTCAGTTGATATGATGTGTTTCTGATGATATGAGATATTCTTTGTGATTTTTAAAATTTTTCTGGATGATTTCAATATTGTCAAAATCAATTTTGTGGCCTAACTCTATAGGGTGTAGACGACCTATAGCTGATGATTTTTCAAGCTTCTCCAGTTGAACTAGATTTCCCGGTGGTCGAACAGAGATTTCCATTTCTTCTGATAACGTTGACTTCACTCTGGCGAGGTTTTTCTGATGTATATCGTATCATATTGCAAGCATTTTTATTTTACAGACGCAATTCGATTGTAAATCCTTTTATAATAATAAATATCATATACTCAATGTCCAAACTATTAAACGTGAACTTGATTTGGACATATACGAAGTCAAAAGCTATTTATCCGTTAGGGAAAATATTAACTTCATGGGAAAGAAAACAAATATAAGAAGAACTGATAACTTTGATACCTTTTATAAAAGTAATATATATGCATATATAAATTGATTTTGCTTTGTTCTATGTTTTTATGCACTAGTTTTACAAACTAACAGGCGAAATCTTATACACTTTTTTCTTCTCCTCAGAGTCTCACTTTCAGAGACAAGATGAATTTAAAGAATAAGGATAAAACTGAAGACAATTTAATGAGTAAATACAATCTACTATTGAATATGGTTCGCTTATTGAATGCTAACCCATTATTAATGCTTTATGTAAGTGAAACTAATTATCTTTAATATATATATATTAAACCATCATTTACTATTATTACTTCCTAGGGTTCCTAGTTGAATATAGGGCCTAAGCAGCATCTCACTATTTCACCAGGTGATTTTTTCTTAAACACGCTGGGATTAATTTAAATAATTTAAAATGAAGTCCGGTGATGTATCTGCTATTCGTATCCGCCCACACTAGGTCTGCTGTGATTGATTGTTGAGTTCCTCAAGGTTAGGCTTTGTTCTTGGTTTTTTTCATGGTCAAGATTAGGGACGTAAACATTGACGTAAATTGTTGTCTACAATTTCGGCTAGCAGACAGCTCTCACTACAATACTATATTCTTTAATTAAGAGATCGGTTTCTAGTGATCGAACGATGTACGACCTGGCCTTGTCACTGGAAGCTCGTTGGTTCGAATCCTGGTGTATGTATGTGTGTGTACTGTGAGGAGTCCCAAACTATTACGAAACAGTTTTCCAGTTCTCCCAGGTTTTCAGTGGTTCTCCAACTGATATCAGCCCGTGGTGAAATCTGAAATAAATCAAATCTCTGTAAAATAACTCTTGACGATATTAAATTATGTAATAAGATTGTCATTTGTAAAAATATTTTATGAAGTAACAGTTTTGAAAAAAAAGTACTAAATGTTAGTTGTCTGCGTATAACAAAAAGATTCAAAACGTTTCTTAGTAAAAATTTCCAGGTAGTTCAAGCTCCACTTTCACTAAGCCAAGAACACCAATAAACACAAAACTCAAGCTTCTTCATATGTTATTTTTTGTACCTATTACTAATAACAGTGCACTGCAGTGTTATGTCACTTAACTTACCTGCAACAATACATACGGATCAGTACTTGGAGGGAGCCAATCATTTCCAGTAATTAGTGTCAAACTTTCAAAAAAAAATAGTAATGTAACGTTGGAAGACACGAGAACTAGTAATGGACCCTTATTAGTGAAAAACACATTATACTGATGCATTTTTAGCCACGTTAAAAGTTAGCCTAGGTCAGAGGACAATAAATTATTCTGATTGGTTGACGATTGACCCAAGGTTAAACAATGAGTCAAGACTTTTTCCAACAAGATTATTTCATGTCCACATCGTAAACTAAATCTAGATTTAAGGAGTAAACACTCCTATCTCTTCAGTCGTTGAATTAAAATGTCGACTTGAATTTTTGGCCACTTTCTATCAATCTGCATCTATGTACTACTTATAAAGCTTGTCAGTAACACACGCCACAGTACTGCAAAATACTGATTTTTATTTAAATAGTTTATGATAAAGCCAGAGAGTTTTGTAAACAGATTCTGAGCAAAAAAACAAAATGACAGGGAGACACCGCCGGAACTCAGTAGGAGCGAGATAGATGTTGTAATTTAGACTGGGAAACTTCAAACGATACAGTGAACACGATACACTTTAATCACTGACTGAAAGTGGAAATTTTTTTATATTCTTTATTCTTAATTATATAAAGTGATAAATTAAATGTTATTGGGCTTTTTTGTTTATAGAGTCCACAAACACGATCAAGTTCAGATGCTCAAAAGGCTACATTCGATTTAATGAATGGTTTAATGTCTTTAATACAACAATCCATTATGTCTGACTTAGCCCAAGAAGCTATGGATGCTTTACTGTGTCTTCATCAACCAGCCAACATTAGATTATGGAATTTACATTCACCAGCACAAGCATTTTGGGAGATAAGGTAAGAGATAAGGTGTTTACTGTTATCTATCAATTTCATATTTTACCAGTTTTGATGGTGAGCTAAGAAAAAATTGGCAGTGAACTGAATAAACTATTGTATATGTACTTTTAAGTGGTGGTTACGTTCTCTGAGCTGGGTGGTTTAATTACGAAGCTTTCATTTTTCTTCTAGACTTCAAAATGTTGAAGTTTACGCTGAAGATGTGTGGCACAGAAAGCTTTGTAATTAAAGCGCCCCTTAAGTATAGCGGTCAAGTTAAACTTTAAGCACCACTAACTACCAATGGGGTGCAACCGCACCAGTGACCTTGAAACGCTCACTGAGCAAGTTAGTGAAACTCGGTAAATAATGTTGTCATCATCAATAAAATATGCTAATCGGAGTGTTATGCTCTTAAATGGGATATCTGGCAAGTTTCAGTTTAGGTTTGAGAAAGATTAAGTTACGCTTTAAGTCAGGGACAAGTTAGGGTTAGGTTAACCTAACAAAAGCGACAGTACGTTTGGTTCGAGTTAGATTACAGTTAGTTTAGGGATATTTTCACGTTAGGGTTAGGTTCAGGAAAGATTAGGGTTATTGTTAGGGTTAGAAGACCCAATTAATTACATGCATAGAATGTGGTTAAATTACTCTGTTGATATAAGAATAGAACTTGTGCACTGTGTTAGAGTATAATTCCATTATGGGTAAAATTTATTTTGATAAAGTCTCACAGTGTTATACAGTAATATTTACTGATGACGTTTCGAGCACAATTTATTGCTCAGTAAATATTACTGTATAACACTGTGAAACTTTATCAAAATAAATTTTACCCACAATGGAATTATACTCTGTTGATACTCCAACCTAAAACTGAGGGCTATTTTTATCACATGTGAGAGGAATGTATCCTCTGTAACACTTTTCTACAGTTTTTATGCATTTTTTCATAAATATATGTATTCCATACACAAAAATGCCTCCTTCACGTGATTGGTGCGTTCGAGGTCATTCACTGATTGGTAGTTATTGGTGCTTAAAGTTTAACTTTGTCAGTATAGCAAAATAAAATCTCTGTGTGTTTTTATAAACTGATGTGAAATACTGTCAGTGTTCTTCAAAAGTTGGTACTAGACAATACGTTTGCGTTATGAAGTCTACGAATTGTGCCTAAGGGTAAAGATTTCCCCTTTATTTTGAGGGCAACATTGAAGATTAAAGATACCACAGCCAAACGACCTTGAATCAACCAATCGGATCGCTCAACATTGCAAATGATTGCTTCTTGTAGTTTCCATAATCTTGCAAGTTTCATCCTGATCCACGGTCAGGTTTAGGGTAGGAATAAGGTAGGATTATGGGTAAAGTTAGGGTGAAACTTGCTACGATGATTATGGGCAGCCTCCATCTGAAATGTCAAACAATATGACAATCATCATTAAGTTATATTCATCGTCAAGTCCATCATTCATTAGAATTAATGGATCCTATAAATGGCACTAATAACCACTCCTATGGAAAACTGAGACCTCATTTTCAGCAAAAATACAGACATATACCCTATATGATTCCCTTCTGTTATGCGTATGTATATCCAGTAAAAATATTTTTTTTAAAACACTATTAATGTCACTTTTTACCCAGGAGCTCATAATTAGCTGGTTCAGGGTCATTTGACTGTGATATCTTTTCTTTACTGTTGCCCAGTATTTCGAGCCCAGAAATAGTATATGTATCCAGTTTATAAAATATCAAGCTGTCAACAATTAACCAGAGACATCACCTCTAGGATGAAAATGCTGAATAAAATCCTCAAATATCGCATACAACACTTCAAATCAGCTGTCACAAGTTTATAAGCATCAAGCCAAACTACCATCCTATATTGATTGACTCGAGAAATGTTACAAATACCTTGTTTTTTATTTTTTAGATTTGCAATTCAGCCTATATCGTTGAGATCATCCGAATTTGTGCAGTCTACACTGTTCGTCAAACGAGCAACGAATTATATCAGAACTTTGGAAAAATTTTATACTTTCTTCTGAGTATTTAGGATATTTATATATTTTTAACTTCATGATCAATTCATTCAATTGAATGTGGCTTTCTTGTTGATTGGGAACACGATCATTCACTGGGAAATGTAAGAACATCCAGATGACAAGTACTTCCAAATAAGACGAAATGCCCGTTGTCCTGAATTCCACTGTCAATCACCATCCTCCAGTTTACTTCATAATTAAATACTCTTACAAAAATAAAGACGATTCAGCGAAGAAAATTTTCTTTATCGACGAAATCATCTTCTACTCTTACAAAAAGAAAACAAATTCCTACTAAATGTGACAAAATTGTTTTTCAGTAACATTTTTTACACTTTTTTCATTTTATTGTGTTTCGAGTAAAAAATAAGGCGTCAGACTTGATCTTTAAAGTTTCAGTTGCTGTGATGTTGTTTTTATGAGGTGGTGTTGCTAGCCTCACACCCAACCTTCCCTTTTCACCGGGCTTATTACCAGCTAAGCGAGGTTTAGGAGTGCCTTGACCGGGAATCAAACCTGTACCACATGTGTAGCTGGCGAGCGTTCTGTCATTGACTCATCAATGCAACATTCTGTTGGGAACATGATTATTATGATATTTGTGTTTAGTGCCTGATGTCAACGACTGTTTCTAGTTAGATGGATAAAGTTTTATCACAGAAAGACAAAAAGTACTTTAGTTCACTTGTACCACCCCAATGGGAAGTCAGTGCTACTTTACGGATCAGAGACTTGACGCGTCACGCAGGGCAGTTCGAACAAACTAAAGACTTTCATCAACGGCTGTCTTCGCTCAATACTCAAGATCAGATGGCCGGCCAGAAATGATCATCAACAAGGATCTCTGGGAGTGAACCAACCAGGAACCAATTGCACAACAAATATGCAGGAAGTAATGGAGGTGGATAGGCCATAGTCTGAGAAAACACCATCAAGTGACATCACACGCCAGGCCATCGCTCGAGTGGAACCCGAATGGGAAACGACGAACTGGGCATAGGTTCAAGGGTAAAATGGAGGAGATCGTGTGAAGAGTAGATGAGGGACTATGGGCGATCGTGGGGGCAGCTTAAGAGGACAATAGGGAATAGGACGAAGTGGAAATATAATGTTGAAGCCTTATGTGACACTCGGAACCCAAGGGAAGAATAATAAAGGAATAATATATGAGTAATTAAGGAGTAATTAAATGTTCAATATCTTGAATAAGATAAGAATTGTAGTCATTTGTATCAATGTAAATGGTTTTGATTCATATCGTTTAAATTCATAGATCCATGTAATGAAATATTTCCAGAATATTACCTAGACAGCTTATATTAAAGCTCATGAATTTTTATCATTAGTGGATTTCAATATAGCGAAAATACTCATTCAGACATCTATAAAAGACAAAATAATTGAGCAAAGAATATCCTTTTCGATAATTTCCTGTTTGGGCTCTACAATTATATACATACATAGAATATTCTAGTGTTTTCTAAATAATATCGATTTGTTAAGTAAGATGAATGGATTTACAGTTCATTGAAGATGAATAAACTATAATAATAATAATGTTATAGCAAATAGAATATCAACTAAAACTAGGGAATTTAATTGGTGGATGGTGACTAGCAGTGGAATCAAGGATGAGCATTTCTGAGTAAAATTCAATTAAATAAAATTAGGGAAAATTCCACAAAAATTGAGGATCATTCAAACCTAGATGGCCAAGGTTAGGACAATTTCTGAACTAACTTCTTTTGGACGCATAAATTAGGCTTCTTAATGTGGATCCCAACAGCCTCAGCAATATTTAGTAAACGTACTCCTAAGGCGAAGTTAAGATTTGTTGGTATGCGGTAAATGACTTTGAAAGCCGCCTCGTTGACATCAATCTTGTGTTCTGCATCCAAAAGATGGGATAAAAATAGCTCTACGAACAGATTTTGTTTGTCCTTTACTTAACCACTCAGGTTGATCTTGTCTCATCTACTAAAACCTAAGGCATGGCTATTACTATAAGTGGTTCAACAAATAAGAGAGCTTCTTTCAATGATGAATATTCAACGCCTGACGCTTGAAAGCATGAACTAAGTGTTTGCTGATGTTCACTCAAATTTAGGGAAGACAAAGTGGATTTTTCTGTACAGTTGCTCTTGACAAATCTTGTAATTTGAGTTTCGGATGTGCAAAATAACTACTCCATTTGAGGTCGTGTGACCAACGTGATATCATCGTTCACATGATCAACATCCTTGCAACTTTTTCATAATGTTGCATAGATAAATAAAAATAGTGAATATATTTTTCTTTTTATTGATTTTTAATTAAATTTTGATTTTCCCGTTGATTGATTGGACTGAAATTTTCGGCCTCTGTTGATATGTCGGCTCTTTGTGCGGATGCTTCGCTTCCATGATATTTGAGGGTTAACTTGAATTAACTTTGTGGATGGTGACTAGCAGTAGTAGTGGAATCCAGGACAACGGGCATTTCTCCCTATTTGGGTGTCGTCAACTGGATGTACCTGCACTCCCCAATGAGTGTTTTTCCCACTGAGGCTCGAACTCAGTACCTATCGTTTCAAACGCCAAAGCGTCATCCACTGAACCACTTGGGAATGAGGCTCTGACGTTTGGAACTATTGGTACTGAATTCGAGCCTCATTGGGAACACCATCACTCACTGGGGAGTGAGTGCAGGTACATCCAGTTGACGAGTAGTCCTAACTAGGAAGAATTGTGCGTTGTCCTGGATTCCACTACTACTGCTAGTCACCATCCATCAAATAACCTAAATGTTTTTCTTTTATCTTTTTGAAAAAGATAATAATAATTATTCCAATTTCTAATAAATGTCATATCTATTCTTTCTTGTCTGATTTTCTTTCTATGCATCAAGTCCACAGTTGTTATATAGTATTGCTCAAAAATTAATCAATCGTAATATACCTAATTCCTGCGATGTTTTAAAGTGGTTAAGAGAAATACTTGTCTGTCGTATAAAATTTCTTCAACAACACTGTGATTATGCAAATGTATCCGGCTGTTGTACACTTGGCTTATTAACGTCTGGTTTATCATCAGTTGGTGGAGATAACAATTCAAGTAATATTAGTGGTAGTAGTAGTAATAACAACACAGTTGTCACAACAGTGACACCAACATCAACAACCAGTACATCGAGTACATCTGTTACAGCAACGAATACAACACAGTCGAATGCGAATTCCGGTTAGTACTATCTGTTTTAGTCATAACTTTTTTTCTTATGCACAACTGTACAATTAATAATTGTTTGTAAAATAGTTATTCTATCTTTGGGAATTATTCTGGTTAATTTATACTTCTCAATTCACTTCCCGATAGTTTCTGTGTAGGTCTCACCATTATTTCCTCATTAGGTTGCCTCCATACACCTTCGTATCCGTCACATTACCAAATAAATTATGCTGGATGTCTTTTAAGCGTAGAGAGAGCATCCACTTATAGAGACTAAATGCGTGTAATTGGTGTTGTGTTTGGGTACTGGTAAGTGGCCTTATTTCTCTCATCCAGTTTCATTTTTCGATATAAAGCAGTCAGTCATACATCGAAAACCTATAAATGATTAAGTGTTTCTGATACAAGCTCGAAGACTTACAGGTGAAAACCAGCAAGTTGGCTGAAGAAGCAACGAAGACAGGACTCCAGGTGAACATAGAGAACACTATACTCATGGAGATAACAAACCAACCAACAAGCAACAACAACCAGCACCAATCACCATTAATGGGAGAGATTTGAAAGAGGTTACTTTCTTCAGTAATCTAGAAAGCATCGTTTCAGCCACAGGCGGAGGTCACGGATGAAGACGTCAAATTCAGCCGGGATCGGAAAGGCAAGATACGCCTTCACCAAGTTTGGAAACACAAATGTGAAGTCAGTCAGTCCTTTTATGTGGGTGACAAACTCGCAGTGCTTGTCAAAAAAAGGATATCCAACAAGTTACAGACTTTCATCAACAACTGCCACTTTCGCTGGCTGGCTCCATACTGAAGATCAAATGGCCAGACAGCCGACCAGAAAGAATTAGCAACAAGAAACTCTGGCTAGTTGTGAACAAACCAACAGGCGAGAACCAATTGCTCAACAAATATGTAGGAGAAAATCTAGATGGATTGATCGGGCATACATTGAAGAGGCCGTCGAATGACATCGTGCTCAGTGCAGGCCACTGCCCAAGTGGAATCCCAAACGGAAGCGACAAGTGGGTTGTCGGTGCGAGGGTGGCATGGAGGAGATTGTACAAAGAGGAGATGTGAGATTATAGGCAATTTCGGAGGCAGATGAAGAGGACAGCCGAAAATAGAAGAAAGTGGAGATGTGTTGTTGAAGCCAGCCCTATGTTCCACTTGGAACCCAAGGGAATAATAATAATATACCTTATATCACCTCGACCTGGCCAGCAGGCACTTCTGGTTGATATGAGTGGAGTGCAGCTATTCTCCTCAATCAATCAGTAGTAAATAGTTTTGTGCAAACATGCTATTTTCCCTCTATAATTAAATGAAGTTCCTAATCTTCCCACTCAACTAATTTAGTGTACAAGTTATCGGCTTCCTCATTCAGTATCCCTCGCGTCCATTAATTTACTTCTGCTTTTATACTGAAATGTTGTTTTTCCATTATTTTGAAAAAAACAACCAAAATTCCTCGTTTTTCTATGATATACATATAATTCCCCATCTACAGTGATAAAATAGTAGTACATTGTTGCAGTCTAAAACGTCCTTGTATTGAAGAGCAATAGTCTACTTACACTGTGTTGATAGAAAATAAATTAAGTAGCTTAAAAATCCCCATTGAGTCATATGAAAAAGAGAAGGCTTTCAGCGAAGAGACTCTTTTCGGTGAATTCATTCACATAGCTGTACAATCGAATTTATATACAATTATTTTGTGTGTGTACATGAGGTTTGTCAAGTTTAGATAATTGATCAGGTAATACAAGAATGATCTAATATAGAAACAAGGTTAATTAGACAGCAACTAAAGTAAGATTGAGTTAGTAAGTTAGATGACGTAATATAATTGAATAAAATGTTTCAACTTAGGTCAGGATAGCAACAGAGGTAATTACAGGTAGAGACTAAGTAAAAGTGGGGTAGAGAATAATGCCATTTAAATTAGAACTAAAATTGAGCAAATAAGTCGGATAACGTAACATAAATGACTAAAAATTGAGCGTTGGTCAAGTCACTAACAGTGGTAATGAGGTGTAGAAATTAAATCGGTTGGGGGTAGAGAACAGGAAGGTTGAAAATGTAAAATATTACAATTGAAAAGACAAAATAATACTAATGAAGAGACAGAAAAAAAGTAGAATTTACCTGTCGGGTATTAAAATAGATTACGTCCATTGCAAGTGTAGCGATTGAACGAACTTCTTCTGTATGCAGAGTTCAGGACTTAGCAAGTGAATTGCCATTGCTTCTGCAGTTTGAAGAAGTTTGACTCGTACACTTTCGGAAGACTACTTCGTATTCTGTAGACGACTTTGAAGTTTGTTTGGGGTGTAGCTTGGTGTCCGGAATCTATCAGATGTTCTAAGATAGAGCTGCGGGGGCATCGTTTTTCTCCTTTGTAAAACCATGCTGATAAGTGTTCGGTGATACGTTTGGAAAGCGAACGCTGGATACGGCCGACATACCTGGCTCCACACGAGCCGGGAACGCTGAGTCTTTAGATTTTGCTAAGATTTGTATTTTAGCCATGGAGTTATGTATTGAAAATATTCAAAAACATTGTGAAAATTAGTAATGTATTATTTTATACCTCATATTTTAAAAGTCTAAAAGATATTTCCTACATTTTAGGCATGAATTACACAGATGGAGGTGTATATATTGGTCCAGCTCCTGCTGGAAAGACAAATACGCAAAGCACTTCATGTCTTAGTCCATTTCTAGGACCACTGGGAATTAATCCGAAGCGAAATCAGATGGCTCTTATCAAATTAGAAACTGTATTTTTTACCTACTTATGGTCATTGGATTTAGAGGCTGTTCTAACTTCAATGTCATGCTTTCGACTACTTTGTCAAGAAGCAGAACTTTGGAGTAGTGCTGCTGCTTTAGCGACAATAACCTCAGCTCCAGATAACGACATTTTACAGCGTTCTGATTGTGAATGTTATGCAGTTAATGCGAATACATCTTCTGCTCCCAATTCATCCGGAACTTCAGATTGGATAGAAGGTGCAGCTTTAAATAATCTTAGTGTGGCAGCACATCTTTACCAAGGTGACATGACTCGCAAATCTCCTCCATTTAATACTGATCATAGACTTATAGTTCCATCGGTTTCTGTTGATCAAAGTTCATCGAGCAGCACACCATCAGAGACCACATGTATACGATTTCAAAATTCATCGTCATCATATGATGGTGATAATCGTCGTTCAAATTTACCTGGATCTTGTATTGCCCTGTGTAACTGTGGGTGTCCACTTTGCACTCCTGTCAATTACTTGCCAGTGTGTACAAATATCGATGGTATCCCGACAGCTCCACGATCTATTCAAGATTCTAGCTCACATTCCAGTTTCAGCACTTCACTCAATTCCGACAGTAATCCTACTTTTTGCTCTGAATATCCTGAGGACAATACAACAAACTTTCCTACTCACACATCTAATAAAGGTATAAATCAAATTCCACATACAGCTATCCCACTGGGTAAATCTTGTCAATGGTCGCTACCGGCACAATGGGCTTTCACTGATTTCCGGCTTCCAGATCTTCTACCAGTGTACAATGTATACGCTGAAATAGCTGAACATAGTCGTTCAATAGTTACTACAGGTCGTGCTCACCTACAAAAACAAATTTTAGCCTTATTGAGGAAAATTAATCACCAGACACAAGGAAACAAGCTCGTAAGTCAGTTATATTGTCAAGCGTATTTTTCACTGAATTACCAAAGTGAGTTATTCATATGCTAACACTGTATGGGATAGGGGATAGAGTAAAATTGATAACATTCAATTCGGTTAATTATAGAGTAACTGATCATAAAATTGAATTGATATATAATACAGAAAACTGAAATTATATCAATATATTCACTGATGATATTTTAGAAATTGTACTTTTACTAAAATTCTAAAAATTGCAAGGTTCATTTTGAAGAAACAAGGTTTTAAATTTACACGATCAGTAGCAAACTTTCTTTCGGGTATATTTGCCCATCAGATATATTGGTGAATGCTATTTTAGAGGATTTCATCATGAGATGACATCAGTTGGAGAACCACTGGAAAATCTGGGAGTACTAGGCGTCTGTTTCGTCCTAGTTTTGGACTCTTCATTAGTACGCACCCACCACCAGGGTTCGAAACCAGGACCACCTGGTTACAAGGCGAGCTCGTAGACCATTAAGCCACTGGGACCCGATCTAGTCCCAAACTAGGACGAAACAGCTACCCAGTACTCTCAGGCTTCCCAATGGTTCTCTAACCGATGTCATCCCATGAGAAAGAAAATCCCTACAAACCAAATTACTTGAGAATGTTATGTTAAACTGTGGCGTGTGCTAATAACGAGATTTATCAGTAGTATGTAAAAAGACGTTCATCAGAACAAAAATGTCAAATAGCTGAGAGATAGATTTGGCGTCAAAGAGAAGAAATCAACCAGTATTGCGGAGAAACTTGAGTGACACGAAAAGAAGACAAAGAAACACAATACGAAGGGCAGAATTAGCACAACAAGGGAGATTTGTGCAGGTGATGATTTTAACATATAGTATTCATAATTTCTCTATATGTGTAAATCAAATTGCATCCCGTTTCCTACCACTCTTGTGTTCTGCCGTTACAAAACTATCGAACAGACTCCTTTGGTGCAATGTTAATAAAGCATGGATAAACATCACCCTTCGAATATGATTACTTTTCATTAATCAGCTTTTTTTAAGACAATGAATAAATCTGGTTAAAAACCTGCACGAAAGACGCTTCATTCCAACTGCTACCTAACACTTCAGTAAAAAAAATTGCTTCTTATAGCAAGTGTTAACAAAACCCATTTCGTATTATGCCATAGTCAACCAGTGTATTCCCACTGTTCTAAGTATCATAACTGTCGAAGATCTGGCTATTTGGATAACTCTTAACAGTACCAAAATTCTAAAAAGTGTTCAGAAAGCATCAATAATGAATCATATTAGGTTGTTATTGAGGGTGGTCAGAAAGGTCGATATCAAAAATCCAGAGTTGTAAGGTTATGGTTACGAACGATGGATCAATAGAAGGTCCATCGTTTAAACGCACTCCAAAGTTGAAAACGTGGAAATAATTGTAAATAAATACCACAAAAGCCCAGTTTTCAAATTTGTGTTTAAAGATCAAGGGTGAGAATGATCAGTGAAAGGGAATGGAATTTTAACTGATTTACAGTATGTATACATTTTCACCTTTGGCTAATTCCTTCACTCCATAAGAGTAAATATCTATTTGTAATGGCAATGAGAGAAAAATCAAAATAAGCAGAAGTCTTTTATAACTCCAAATCTCATAGCGTTACTACTTCTCACCAGGACTTCACAACAAAAAGACCATAAAAACCAGGCATTATTCAGACTCTACGAGATCTTTTCGTATATAAGGATTCCTACTTGTAACATCTTACTCTGAAGATTACAGATTACAGCTTACTTTTCTTGTAATTACAGTATTCACTGGAGCAGGACAATGGATAGATCTGTGAAAAGTTGTAACCAGAGGGGAACACCAGGTTAAGCAATAGGACGGTTACGCGCCTATCACAATGACTGACAACTGCGTTATCTATATCACGAAGTAGCAGAAGTTAAAATTCATGAGCCATTGGATCAGGTCCCAGTGGCTGAATGGTATACAAGCTCGCCTCATAACTGGAAGGTCCTGTGTGTAGGTACTGATGAAAAGTCCCAGACTAGGATGCAGCAGGTGTCCAGTACTCCATGGTTTTCCAACTGTTCTCTAACTGATATCAGCTCGTGATCAATCATGTAACTAATCAACTCCCTGCAAACCGACACTAGACCTTTTTTTATCATTTCAGCTTATGCAAAGTACCATTTTAAAATCAAATACATTTTAATACTTTTATTGCAATGAAAGAAACTTAAATACCTAATAATTTCAGGCTTGGGAGCACACCTACATGATTTGGCTACGAAGTACAAAATTTCTCATCAACTATCCAAAATCAAAAGCCTCTGCTCCACCCAGTGGATCTGACGATCCATGTTATGATAGTGCTGCTAATTCTACTAATAATAATTCAGTGAGCGGATTCTCTTCTGCATCTCTTGGTAGTTCACCATCGATATCTAGTGGACTGGATTCTATAACCAATTCAGTGGACACCGGTGGAGTCAGTATGAATATAGATGGATTCTCTTCTGTAACAGGTAATTTAGCAAAAAATAGTTTTAATTCAGTAAACTTAATTCAGGTTCATCTGGAATGATGCTTACAATAGCCAATAATCCTGGTGGAGTTTCTGCATCAGGTGGTTCCACTGGAACAAGTCCATTTACTGCTGGAAGTGCAATCAGTGGTGGGACAAGTCGGTATTTGGCTGTAAAACGACGTGTTAGTCAACAATCACCTGTAAATGATCATGAAATTGAAGATGTGTTAAATGAATGGGCAAATATGACAGGATTCTTGTGTGCACTGGGGTCTGTCGCACTGAATATGCCGCTGCCTCAAGGATCCACACCATTCTCTACACAAACAACGTCATCGGGTTATTCATGCGTATGTTCTAGTTTGTTTGTTGTAAAATGTTTACTAACAATATATTCGTTTAATTCTTTATACTTTCATCTTCACCATACTTACCAGTTTACCGTATCAATGAAAAAGAAATGTACCGATTTTAAGCTGTTGCTTGTGGATAACAACCAGTACTATTTTCGCTATTTTCTAGCTTTGGTTGAATTTAGCTACCTACGGATTTACTTGTCATCAAGATACAGTATTAAGATGATACGGTCCTTTTAGTGAGAGATGCTGGAAAAATGCAGGGTCATCTAAATACCATGAGCAAACTTTCAGTATATCTCTTTTTCGATCTGTTCCCTATGGAGTGTCAGATGATGTTGTAGAGCTGTTCTGTATCAACTTTAAGCTTAAAGTTCGGGAGGTGCAATGGTCTGTATTCAACATAGAACTTTGCACCGATCTGCGGCAGTTCAATTCGCCACACTCCATGTAGCACACAAAGCAAGAGAAGAAAGTAGAAGAAATGCATAATATAGACAGTAAACAGAGGTGAGAGACAAAGGAATAGTAGTAACGAAGAACAATATAGTTTCATTGAACGGATAGCTGCAACCTTGACGTGGTGGTCGGGCTTGCACATCGCGATGACCCAGCAGGCTGCACTGGCTGGAACCAATGTTCCTGCAGGTCCTACCATGCCAGGAAGGTTATTAGAATAGCGATTAGACTAAAAGCAGTTACCGGCATTGTGTAAGAATCTTTCCTGCACTATGCTGGGGGTATGAGGGCGAAGTCGTACTTCTGGGGAACAGGGGTGTAACAGCAGTGAGGTGTTTCCCTCAGATGACCAGCATGCCAGCTATGCTGTCTCTCCACTCCGGAGAGAGGGGGTTAGGAAAGGTCGACCCCAAAAATTGTGCATCCCGACTTACCTTACGGTGGTCTGTAACCGGCGGTAAGTTTACTAATACGGAACCAATCCAAGAAACCAGTTCATACAGGCCGTGTGTGACCGGCCTCAAGCAGTTGTCCTCTGGGCTCTGTGGTCACGCAACACTAACCCTCTTTCTGTTTCAAGTACCCGAAGAATCAATCAACTTCCATGGTGTAGGCAGCCGGGAAGTAACAACCGCCCACACACTTCCAAAAGCACAAAAGCTGCAATGGTGCAATGCGTTGACCGATTCACCTATTTAAGAAGTTTCATCAATCCTAATGATCTAGTTACAGACGAAATCTCAGCACAGATACAAAAGACCTGTTTGACACTCACCTTGATTGCATAATCTTTGACGCAAGCATTACATCCGGGTATCTATCAAAGACGTGTGTACTACCATTTTGTGAACAGTCCCACACTGAGAACTCAGTTCAGCTGAGTATAGACTTCACTCTAGATCTAGTTTTTAGTGCAATTGAACACATAAGTAGTTAGACTGGTTGAAGGATTTCATCATGAGCTGATAGCAGTTAGAGAACCAGGTTTTCCAATGGTTCAAACCAACCAACCAACCAAACAAAATCCCTTACAAAACCAATACTTGAAAACATAAATAGTTAGGCTTCAATGAGTACTTTGCGAAGCTAAACGCCTGATGGTTTATCCCTTTTGAAACAAACCATTGTATGTTTATGTAAAGTAATCAACCATATTCTTTTAGTAATGCTTGTTCTGCAGTAAGATCTCTTACTTACATAAATATCTCTGTTTTGTTTTTAAAAAATTATAATGTAAAGGAACAAAGCAAGCTAAAATCTTTACAATCCCACTGTCCACATTATCACTACTGTTCGCATCATTTATTGGATCATGTTCATCAGCACTTTGATCCAACATGTCTAGGAGCAAATTACTTTCTTCGATCTCATCGAGCCAATTTCAATAAGAGTACTAGTGATGTAGACCAAACGGATGAATCGCATAATCTTAATAAATGTCATACATTTCATGGTGCTTGTTTAAGTGAAATGAATACTGCAAGACGTTTTTCACTTGTTCAATCCAGTTTAAATCAAGACAATCAATTCTCACCTGTTGCACAGTAAGTTCATTTTATTTGCTAATGAATTCTGTAGTTAATGACAATGATAGTTACAAACTAAATAAGGTCTACATAGAATGAGGAATTCTTACAATCAACCAGATAATTTTATTTCACTTATTATTATTGTTCCCTTGGGTTCCAAGTGGAACATTAGACTTCAACAGCACATCTCCACTTTGTCCTATTCTCTGCGGTACTCTTAAGCTAGCCCCACGGTCACTCATAGTCTCTCATATCCACTTCTCATGATCTCCTTCATGTCACCCTCGAACGGACACCCAACTCTTCCTTTCCCATCCAGGCTCCACTCTACTGATGGCTTAGCACTTGACGCTATTCGACGGTCCGATCCATCTCCATTTTTTTGGAATATTGAGCAATAAGTTTTTGAATGGTTCTTTCTCACAGTTTCTTGTTGCTAATTCTTTCTGGTCGACCATTTGGTCTTCAAAATACAGCCAGTGAAGGTAGCTGTTGATAAAAGTCTGCGGCAGGCTTTTAGAAATGCTTTCCATGATGCGCCTGTCACGTTTCTGAGCCATACAGAAGCACTGATTGGCTTAACATTGGTGTTGAAAATTTCCAAATTGATTTCAGAGTGATGAAGGTTTCTCTTGCCTTTACGATGATTCTAGTTTTGAATTCATCATCCCTGCTTTCGTCTGCAGTTGAAACGAAGCTTCTTAGATAAGTAACCTCTTTCAAATTTGTTTAGTTCATAGTGACTGATCCTTATTGTTGTTGGTTGGTTATCTTCATCAACCCCGTCTTCTGTATGCTCATTTGAAATCCTGTCTTCGCTACCAGCCTCCTCTACCAATTTGTTGGTTTTCGCCTGTAGGTCTTCGGCTTCCCGTGACATTGGACATAAATCATCCGCGTAATCCAAATCTTCTAGAATCTTCTTATCGGTGGTCTAGCGTACTCCTGTTTCCTCGCTCTCTACAGTCGGACGCATAATCTCATTAAATTTTGTTTTAGCACTATTGTAAAGCAGCATGTGTCATTCGTAATATGATTCGCCCTTTCTTAAGATCATATGATATATGATCTCCCATAAGGATTCTGATGTCACCATTCGGGATGTTGTCCATTACTGTTTGTAGTTGGCTATAAAAATCTTCCTTCTTCTCCTGTTCTGCATTGTTTGTAGGTGCGTAGCATTGTAATCTTCCTTCCTTTTGAGTTGAATCTTGCTGTCATGATCCTGCAGGATGAAATTGGTTCCCACTACATTACGTCTTTGGCTGCCACTGGTGACTAAGAAATTACTTACACTAAAAGTCTATATGAGATGGATGAAAGTAGAGGCATATCGAAAAGAAAAGTCATCAGTTTAACGATAATCTAATTTCATTAAATGGATATAACATTTTCCGTCAGGATAGACATAGTTTAAAGAAAAAGCATGGCGGAGGGGCAGCTACTTTTATTATTACAAAGTGGTCTACATCTAATCATGAATGTTTTCATTTTTCCAATGACAATTTGGATTGCGTCACTGTTAGGTGTCTCCCAAAGCATTTAAGTAAATACTCCCATATATATGTAACATATGTTTACATAACACCAGACTGCAATTTCTCAAGTATATCTATCTTTGCAGACGAGATTAATGAACTTGCTGCACCTATCTTTGCAAATTCCTTGTCTATATAGTATGTAGGGACTTCAATTCATGCGATCACTGCTTTCTCATATAACTTGAACGTGAGAAACTTTTCACATTTAATACTCGCCTGAAAAAAACCCTAGACTTGGTTTTCATAAACGCCCTTGATACATACGAGGCCCGAAGGAAAGCTTCCTCGCTGAATTTTGACCATTGCACTATTCGTGTTTTACCGAAAGTGTATGGCAAGTTACACAAAAGGGTTTTTGTTCACCTAACAAAGAAAATTCAAGAACGACCGTATTCACATGATAGTAAGTAATCTTGTACTAAGATACACGGTGCATGATACTGACTGAGACTCATTCGTTGATGAATTCTTGAACGTTACTATTTGTAATGTCACCTGCTATCTCTAGTTGTGTTTGGACATTTACTGTCCTACTAAAACACCATATACGAGGTCGGACAAGATCTTTTCCCCACAATTTAGGAAGCTTAGAACAGTAAAAGAGAATTTGTATAAATCACACGATAATGCTGGTGTTTGAAAAACAAATTCACTGATAAAGTCTGACATACAAAGACTAAGTGGAATCTATAGTGAGAAAATTTTATCATATAAAAACGCTTCTAACATCTGAAAACGTTTTAATTAACTAGTAAGTGAAAAGCGAATTTCAGTTGGTGCTCATTCAGATGTAAACGGCTTAAATCGATCTTGAATAATGCAACAAGCTAATGTGATTGAAGCTAATGTCTCTGGTCATTTTCCAGATTTTAATGAAAAGGATATATTGTCATATCTCAAATCCTTGAATCCATCACAAAGCCTAGGTGCCGATGGTGTACCTAACATTTTACTTCAAAAGTGTGCAGATGTTTTGTGTCATCTTCTTACACAAATCTTTAATGCATTATTTAACAGGAATACAGTGCCTGTTGCCTGGAAAGGAATAAAGGTGGTGTCTGTATCAAACCTTTCAAGGATTGGTATGCAGGGATTTGATTGCTTACAGGTTATATATCATAAGATGACATCAGTTAATGAACTATCGGGAGACCTGTAAGTATTCAAACTTGTAAACATCAAATTCCTGCAAACCAAAACTTGAAAATTAATCTGAACCGCTCACTAGTGAGTGTGTGAGACGATCAGCTAAGACCACTAAGAAGACATTTACTCACCGATGACACCGGCTGGAGGTTGCTCCATATATATTTATATCACGAATTGGCAAAAGTTGGAATTCATGTGCCATTGGTTTGCGTCCCAGCGATAGGAATGGTATACGAGCTCGCCTTGTAACAGGAAGGTCCTGGATTCATACTGATGACGTGTCTCAAAATAAGACGAAACAACTGCCCAGTACTCCATAGTTTATCTACTGGCCGTCTAACTTATATCAGCTAGTGATCAAACATGGAGAGAATAGACATTTTCTATCCCTAACTTAACCATGCAGGAGATAAAGTTCAGAAATCCGATGATGAGCCATGCGTAATTGTACGCCGTATGTAACTGACAGATATACATAGAGGAGGCGAAATTATGTAGTTTATCCTGAATTTCAAATGTTGGTTTGTAGGGATTTGATTGGTTACAGGATTTTCATCATGAGATGACATTAGTTAGAGAACCATTGGAAAACCTGGGAGTACTGGACAGCTATTTCGTCCTAGTTTGAAACTCTTCATCAGTACGCACCCACCGGGATTCGAACCCAGGACCTTCTGGTTACAAGGCGAGCTCGTATACCATTAAGCCACCGGGACCTGATCCAATGGCCCATGAATTCTAGCTTCTGCCAATTCACGACATAGCGCGACCGCTGGCCAATGTCTCCGGCGAGTATTTGTCCTCACACCCGACCTGCTGCACCCTACTGGTCACGACTTCTCACTAGAACACCAGCTTACTACCTGAATTCCCCAACGTAAAATTGGAGTGGTTGTGAAGAGGCAGTGAATTTCTGCTGCGCTGAATGCTCATTTTACTGCAGTTTTTTTTAACACTCATCTTTTTTTTCACTTCTTTTCTTTTATAGGTTTATAGGCAATTTATTATTATTAATTAGTTGTCAACATGAAAAATTTGGTCATCAAATACAAAAACATGTGAAAGAGTCAATTGGTAATGAATTGAATCCATTAATTTATCCAATATTATTTAATCAACTACGAAGTCATGTGGATGCTTGTTTTTCTGGACAAGGCCAACAACAAGTTGTTGTCACAGAGACAAATACGCTATTTATTGAAAATGTTATCTTTATTATGCGTAGTATACTGGATAAGCGAACAAAATCTGTTGATCGATTAAGTGATCATTTAGAATTAGTTAGTATTGAAAGTCTTATGCTAAATATTGTTAGGTAAGTTATATCTGTGCATTATTCTAATGAGAATATATTCATGTGTATTGTATTAATAATGTGGTGGAATGGGTGATGTTAAAGTATCATAGCCAAAGTCAATATCCTGCAAAAGTTGGCCTTAAAAGACCAATCAGATACAGGCGCTACGCTACGCAAGGTCATTCCAAATCAAATCATACCTGCCTTTTTTGGACTTGGAGAGGGTAGATACTATATTCTACTTATTCTCCAGTTACTTCCTCTGCAAATCAATACTGTTAGGTAGCAGATCTGGCAGTCTTAGTAAACTCGTTGAGCTGTAGTACTCATTCACTTGCTCTTTGCGGTCTCTTGTATTTTAACTGATTAAAAATCCCCATTAAAATTTTCAAAAGAATGGATAATAACTGAATTCAATGAAGTACATTCGGCTATGAAATTCACGTGCGAAGAGAAATCCCAAAACAGAATCGCCTTCCTGGATGTCCTCCTTACAAAAAACCAGGTGGTAGTATAAAAAGAAATTTGCATAGAAAAAGTACTTGGACAGGACAATATACACATTTTCACAGCTTCGTTCCTCTCAAGTACAAAAGAAATTTAGTAAGGACCCTCAGCCACAGAGTTAGAGCTATATGCTCAGAAGAAGTAATTGAAGATGAATTAAGCACTGAATATGATATCTTGATTGAAAATAGCTATCCCGACAAATTTATCAAGAAACACATGACAAAAAAGGGAAGGACTACTCACTATCCGTAAACAAGAAGCCTCTTTATATACGATTGCAATTCAAGGGCGATGTTACCAAGTGAAATAATTACGAAGAAATTAAGAAAATCAGTTCAAAGAACTTTTAATGCTGGCGAACTACACGTGTTATTCTCTACACGACCGATGGTGATTCCTCGACTGAAAGATGAAGTACCTAGACTAGCCACTTCCAATTGTATCTACCAATTCAACTGCGCTTGTGGAGAGAGTTATATCGGCCGTTGCTCTAAGAACTTGATTTTTCGTGCTCGCTCGAGAACATCTCCCAGTATGGCTAAGTAAAGGTGTAGTGAAAACCATTAACAGTTCGATATTAGACCACCTGGTACAAACCAGCCAGCATTGAAGAATCCTTCTCTATCATCTACCGGGTGCCAAATAAATTGCCAAAAACATCGAAGTACCGCATGCTCCAAACAGCAGAGGCTATTGCAATTCGTGTGAAACAACCAGTGCTTTGTGTGCAGAAGAAGCAAGTCCAGCCAGCCACTACTACTGCCCTGGCAGGCCTTCAGTAAAGACTATAAATTCATGGGTTCTGTATTATTACTTTTCCTAATTCTTGTGCTATTGAACTGTAATCTATTGATATCATTATTGATTCGATGTTATTTAAACAACATTAATGTTGTTATCATAACACTAATTCATTCATTCACTATAATGGATGGATATATAACTATAGAGCCTGATGATGAAGTTATCGAAAAGAGTATTCTTTGTTCAGTAACCATTCCCTTGTATTTATTAAATTCTCATTGTTCTATATTTTCCTTGTCTTTTCTCCCCTATATTTCTGCCCATTACAGTTTCTTTTCACATTTCATTTTTCTCCACCTTCCCTTTCACATTTAACTTGCAAGTACAGATAACGAAACACAAATCAGAAAGACTCAATTAATAGGGAATACGCTTGAAAAAACAGGATAATTAAATAGGATAAAAGTTGAGGTTACTATAGAGAAATATTATTAAACCTGCATGGTTAATATGGCTGAGCTAGGGACTTTGAGGATGTACATGTTAATCAGCACAAAAAAAAGTATCAAGCTTGGTTGGACGTGAATTCGCCAGTGGGTTTGTAACAGCGACACTAACTATAGCCTTGCTATGTTCACGGAATGACATAAATAATATATCAATTAGACATCTGACATTAAATTACAAATTGGAAAATTTTTACAGATATTAATTTGGATGGATTCAGAGTTCTTGCTAGTCTCTGTGTCAGTAAATGTTGCTTTATAATCATGTCTAGGCCTCAGGCTTCAAAGTTAAACACATAAAACTTCATTTTCATAATTTTATGCTACTATATGCGTGGTACGGGGTTCGAACCCCGGCAACAGACGCACTCCTTTACCTCGCTAAGCCAGAAAGAATGCTGGTGAAGAAGAAAGGTTGGGCATGAGGCTAGCAACCCCATCCGTAAAATAAACACTGCTAAAGAAACTTCAAGCCACTAGCTTAAAGCCCTATGTTCCACTGGGGAACATGAAGGAAAAAAAATATGCGGCCGTATTGAATCAGAAATGCTTCGTTTTTTACTTGTGTTCATGTGGTGCTCATTCGAACCGGTGGTATTTTGGCTATGCCATATCATCGTTCTGTATTCCCCCCCAAAAAAAAACCTAAAACAATTTATGCATGTGGAGGGGAGCTAGAAGTACATGTAATTACTAACATTTAGTTTGTTCAGTTGCATCTGTTTATTTTTTGAACCCTAGTTGTAATATGGTGCGGTGATAATTCACTGTAAATACACTAAGGCAGTAGCTGCATCTCTAACTTATGTAAACAATGTTGTTTTATGATTGGCTAGAAAAGTAGTTTCTGATCTTCGCATGAACTAGAACTGCTACTTGCAATGAAGCAAGAACAATGAGACTTCTGGTAGGAATTTCGTATTAACAAATTAACTGGAATTCGTACGGATAGTCAGTAAGATAGTATCAAAAACTCACAATCAAAGTAGTCACAAAAACAGGAATAACCACCAATAGAATTAAAACAACGCCTAATTCCTTTGGGTTCCAAGTTGAATTTGGGGCTTCAACAGGACACCTCCACTTTGTTGTATTCCCTGCCGTCCTCCTTAGCTTGCTCTACAATTGTCCGTAGTCTGTCATTTTCTCCTCTCGCGATCTCCTCCATGTCACCCTCTGACCGACACTCAACTCATCATTTCCCACCCACTCAACATCCTGGCAAGCTATGTCATTTGACGATATCGTCAGACAGTGTCCGATAAATCTTAAGTTTCTTCGCATATTTTTTGAGCAATAGGCATTGGTTGGTTCGTTTCCAGAGGTTCTTGTTGGAAATCCTTTCTGGTCGGTCATCTAACCTTCTGTATACAAGCAGCGAAGGCAACTGTTGATAAAAGTCTGTAACTGGCTTTTGGAAATGATTTCTGTGACGCGAACGCCAAGTTTCTGACCCATATAGAAGCACTAACTGACTTAACATTGGTTTTGAAAATCCGAATTTCGTTTTTTATGCTGAGTTAGTGTAGAAGATTTCCAAATTGATTTCACAGGTATGAAGATGTGCCTTATCTTCAGGATTCTAGTTTTGACATCCGCCCGTAGTTGAAACGATGCTACCTATGTAGGTGAAGGAAGTGACTGACCTCTTCCAAATTTCTTCCACTGATAGTGATTGGTGCTTGTCGTTGTTGTTGTTGTTGTTCGTTTGTTATTTTCATCACCTCTGTCCTATCTAAGTTCACCTTAAGTCCTTTCTTTGATGCTTCTTCTGCCAGTTTGTTGGTTTTTGCCTTCTTCATATTCGGTTAGAAGGTAATTTAAGTAAAACTGATACCTCATTGATTCGTGATTCACTTGTCAGAGTATCAACCACGTCTTTACTACAGTATTTAGCTATAAATATGTTTAATAAACTGCTTTCCTCATTGCATCTATGATACTTATATGAACCTTGATCACGATTTGATGGTGGCACAGTGGTTAGGACTCTCGCCGACCATGCACATGGTCCGGGGTTCGATCCCCTGCCGACGCACACCCGATATCTATGGTCGGCCTGTGAAATTTGGGCTACCGATATCCATGCTGAAAATTCCATACTTGTACTGAAAATACGGTGTGGAATCAAGCTGTAATCAAAAATATTAAAAAAATTAAAAAAAATAAAATAAAAATAGAAGTACACATATATTAAATAGAAGTCCCCCAAACATTGGTACCCTTTAATGAAAAGTAGATGCAAATAAAAAGTTACATATGTAAAATCCTCAACTGTATTCAAATGAGTAATTCCAACGTTTCTTTCCAGCATAATGGTCTGAACTTCAACGGATTGAGAAACATCAAAATTTTAATGGTGTGTATTAATAGGAGAATACATGTTGTATTCAGTCTTCTTTCGGAATAATGCTTAAGTCATAAATAGATATTAGTTCTTTCTTATGACTCTGGCTGGGAACAAACCAACAGGCGAGAACCGATTGCTCAACAAATATGTTGCAGAAAATGGAGATGGATTGATCGGGCATACATTGAGTAGACCGTCGAATGACATCACGCGCAATGCACGCCACTGCTCAAGTGGAGTCCCAAACGGAAACGATGAGTGGTCCGTCGGTGCGAGGGTGACATGGAGGAGATCGTGTGAGGAGGAGATGAGAGATTTCGGGCAATCGTGGACCCAGCTGGTTAGAACAACCGAAAATAGAAGAAAGTGGAGATGTGTTATTGAAACCATATGTTCCACTCGGAACCCAAGGGAATAATAATAATAGTTCTTTCTTATACATGAGTGAATCTAAAAAGTTCCAATAGAAGAGACGGCGTGACGTCAGCTGATTCCTGCAAGTTTATGTCATTAATATTCAGATCTCATTATGGAAACTTGCTGTTTGTTTTTGTTGAGATCATGTTTTATTTATCAATGACGTATTTAAGTGATATTTTATCGGATATATCAAAATATTTTACAGATATAACCCATACTGATGCCGTTTTACTTCAAAACACAGACACAAATCAGGTGTACTTTTTCGCCTAGAGATCTTGTTTTATTTGACTTCACTTCAATGCCATAATAGTCTTTGTTTTGACACGAAGTGTACTTCATCTGCCCACACATTATTTACAATATTGTCTTGAAAACTGCTCAATTATTTACAAATTATTTGACATGGAGAATGAATACCGAAATGTACCTCCACCATCCATTTATACATACATACACCTTTGTTATTTTGATTCCTATCACTCCTCTGAAAAAGTATCGATCACTTGGTCAAATGAAATATTGAAATAAATTATTTGGATTTTTTTTGAGGTTTTGACAGATACAACTATTTCATATAATTAATTACAAAGATAAACATGATTTAGACACTCTTGTCAGCTGAAGACGTGTTATTACAGCTGTAAAAGAAAAAGACGTAAACAGCGAAGAGAAATTTCTTTTCGGCGATTCATTTTCATAAGCTGCTGTACAATCATAATTATATTTAACAAAAAAAAATCATAAGGCCGATGAGATACTGGTAAGATTTGTCCTCGAAGGACGTAGCACGTAATGTAAGGCGTAATCTAGAGGGGGTGACTAATTGGAATTAAGAAAAGAGGCAGAAGTTGACATGACATAATAAGTGTGGAAAATGACTAATCAATACGACTGTGTAGAGGGGAAAGGAACTAGTGGAAAGACGATAAAGTGAGGTCCAACCAGTCAAGTGTGAGGATGGATTTCCCACTGATGATGATGACATCGGTTGGTGGTCGCGCTAAATCACGAATTTGTAGAAGTTAGAATTCATAGGCTGGTCACTGAATTGGGTCCCAGTGGCTGAGTGGAATACGAGCAAGCTTGCCTTGTAACCGGAAGGTCTTGGGTTCAAACCCCTCCTGGTGGGTGCGTACTGACGATGATTCCCAAACTAGGCTGGTGAAACAGCTGGCTGTCCAGTACTCCAGTGCTGGTTTTCAATGGTTTCTTAACTGATATCAATCCGTGGTCAAGCTCGTAAAAACAAATTTAATCCTTACAAACCAACTCTTGAAAATTAAAGCGTTTTTATAAAAATCTGTTTAAAAACGCAATGTTATTAATAAACAGTAATATAGTGATAATAAAATATGTATGGTGAGAATAATAATGATAATAGAATAATAGTAGTAATAAAAATAATAATAGTAAACTTACATAATAAAAAGAAGCAAAATTATAGTAATAACGTTACTCTGGCCACGGTAGGGCGAGTGAATGTATGCAGTGCTTTTGAATGCAGAACTCCGGTTTAAGATCCCGAATAGCCAATGATTCAGCTGTGTACATATGGCATATTCGAAGTCCCTTTGTATGATATTGAGGGACTCTGTGTAGCACTGTGAAGCATTCATGCAGGGGTGTGCTGTTCGATGATGGAGCTGCTGCTGCTACTATTCTTCTTCGCTGTTTGCATCTTTCTTTTTATGACTAAACATGGGAATATTTCGTTCACAATTGTAAAAGTTAAATTCATCAAATACTTTTCACATTGGATAATATGAATTTTGTTAATAATATTTATATTTAATAATTATTTTACTAGGTATGTTCGTCACCTAGAATGTGTGCATTCTCTTCAAATTAAGATAAAAGTGTGTCAGTTGGTACAGAAAATGATGGCTAGACGTGAAGATTTAGCATTTAGACAGGTATGTGTTAAATATGTGTACTATTTTATTTGTTTTGCATAATTCCTTGTTGTTATTGCATAAAAGTGATTTCTGCCTAACTCACATTTCGTATTTTCCTGAACCACACTATTCTGTTCTGTTTAACTTTCGATGGCACGAGCACGTCTTTTAGCCAGAGGGTCCTGGGTTCTCTAACCCTAGAGGTTGGTGCGTACCATTGAAGAGTCCTAAAGTAGGCTGACGAAACAGCTGTCCAGTACTCCCAGTTGGTTTTCCAATGATCCTCTAACCTATAAAATTTAAAATTAAAAATGGTAGTTCAGTTTGATAAGACATATATTCATAAGTAATCAAAGGATGACATCAAATAAGCTGACGTCATCGTACTTACATTAATTCATTTATTTTTTAAATCAAAAAAGCTGGAGGCATGTACAGCATATCCCTAGCAACGACGCTAATTGTAGCGTTGCTTTGTTCACGTAATGACATAAATAATATATTATTTAGACATTTGACACTAAATTATGAATTCGAAAAAAATTTATGAGGTATTTATTTGGATAGCTACAGAGTTCTTGCTAGTTTGTGTATGTGTGTGCGTGTTTGTGTGCGATAATTATTATCACTTCATAGTCATATCTAGGCCTCAGGCTTTCAAAGACTAACCTATGAAGAAAATAAAAGACAAATTCAGCGAAGAAAATTTTCTTTATCGACGAAATCATCTTCAGAGGCTGTACAATCGTATTTATACTTACAAAAATATATAGTGGTCTATTATTGAGTAATAAGGGGTGACATAATTGAAATTACATGAAATTACATTTCCGTAATTTTATGCTACCGTACGCGGCTACTATACACTGCATCAGAAATGCTTCTGTCTTATTTATATCCACTGTTATACCGTATAAGGAGGGGATATCTGAGATCACCTTAAGCAGGATTCTTAATAAAGCAGGAATTAGGGTGGCATTCAAACCTACAAACTCACTCTAAGACAAGCTCTGTAGGCTAAAACACCCGGTGGACACAATTAAACAAAATAATATAATTTACAAAATACCTTGCAATGACTGTGAGTGAGGCCAACTACATAGGTCAGACTAGTAGGTCGGGGGTAGTCAGATTGTCAGAACATAAGAATTTAGCTAAGGTAAGAATGGTTAACCCCGAGAAGATAAGTAATTTAGAAAAAAGCTCAGCAATTGCACTGCATGCATTAACACACAACCACTCAATAAGGTGGTGGGAGAGAATTAAAATTCTAAGTAATTAAATAGGTGAAGAGAGAGACTGATTACTGAATTCTGCCTTGTTCGTCGAGTCTACCTATACCCAACACAACACATGCAACAGAAATGACTCAATGCAAATACCACAGATATGCATGGGAGATATTATTACCACCAGTCAGTCAGTCAGTCAAATCACAGGAGGATGATAAATAATCCTAAAATTCTATTTCATTTCAATTCACGTACATCATAACATCATAACAAGTTAGTCATTTATTTTGACTATAAAAACACTCGTCTTATTTCCCATCTGATTGTACCTGATTGATAACACTCATATTATTATTTCTGAATGTACATTATTCCATATTGATTTTTATTCAAATGTCTAATGATCAATTGCACTCATGTATTTGAATGTGCTATGAAAAGTTCTATATTGAAATTCATTCAGTCAATCAACCAGTCAATTAGTTATAGAGTTGAGAAAAAAATATGTATATAATAATATGCAATGAATTAATTTTATTCTGCAAGTTTTGTTTTCTGTGAAGATCCACATACTGATCTACTTGCGATTGGTGATCCTTCTTTATGTTATGTGATCTTATTTACTGTTGCGTAAAAAGAAATGTCGAGGTTAAACATACAACTATAGACTAAAGTTACATATGAAAAATAACACATTTAAGCGGGCAATATTGTTTTCAATTAGATCTCCTCAGGTATAACTCTAATATGCCTGCATAACTTTACAAATAAAAATTCAAATATAAACCTTGTGAAGAGGAGCAGGATAGTAAACTACATTTACTGGATGTCTTACTAAGTAGGCGAGAAGATGGGTCACTTTGGAGAAGCATGTATAGAAAAAGCACATTCACAGGGCAATACACACACTTCCTTATTTACATGGCCATTAAATATCAAACAAATGTTATTAAATGTCTTACGAGCAGAGCAAGAAAGATATGTACGGATTACCTCTTACAATGGGGATTTGAATATATTCACGATTCATTGACGGAGATGGGCTATCCGAGTAGTTTCATAAAGAAACATTTGAAAACATCAGAGAGAAAACCTGAGACTCTGACTGCACGTAAAAAACCTATATTTATTAAGTTACAATTTAATGGTGACTTGTCAAGTGAGATTTTATTCCAGAGACTTTCCAGGAGTATACGAAGAACGTTTTACGCAGCAAACCTATGTTTGTCATTCTCTAGCTGACGAATGACTGGGACGCAAACGAAGGATAAGCTAGATAGTTTTGCCACATCTATGTGCATTTATCAATTCAACTACACCTGCAGTGACAGTTATGCTGGGCGTTGTACTAGACAGCTTAGCCACTGTGTCACTACTGAACAACTCCCGTGGTGGTGGATTGGCAAAGAACAGACAGAAACGATCCGTAGCTCAATTTTGTCACATTTAGTTGATAATGGTCATGAAGTGGAGAAAACGAAAGCATCCATGGTGATCCATCGTATCTCACCGAATATTTCCTGTAGATTTCGTATTCGTCTACTGCACACAGCTGAAGGCGATGGGCATTCGAACTATTACACCTAAACTATGCATTCAAAAGAAGTTCGTACAGCTATTATCCCTCTCTTGGCCTATTAAGAACTAACCAACTGATGACTAGCTAACTACCCTTCACTTGTATTTTCAACCCTTTTCTCATCATCCCTTAATCTTATCACATCTTCATTAAAACGTATTTTATTCACTTCCCTTACAATCTAGCGTTACTTGATCGGTTCATTTGTTTTTCTTAGTCTTTATCGACTACTTTTACCTGGACATTTGTTTGTTTAATCATGTTGTTTTTTGTCACTCTTGTTATCATAGATTACCTCACTTTTTCATCCTTATTATTGATAAAACCATTATCATTATTATCATTACTATTATTATGACTAACTGCACAATTTATATTCACCATCTTATTATCCTATAGACAAAACACCATGATTGGTTTATATTTGAATTTTTATTTGTAAAGTTATGTAGGCATATTAGAGTTAAGCCTGATGAGATCTAATTGAAAACACAATATTGTTCGCTTAAATGTGTGTTGTTCTAAATTTTACTATGGGAATATTTAATATCTGAAAAATAAGCGCAGAAATAAACCATAGTATTTGTGTTAACAAGTTGACCTGACCTACTTTCAAACAAAAGTAAAATATACACATTGCATTACACATTACAAATAGCCATTTAGATAATTTACAAAATAGCCTAATCACCCAAAATAGTGTCAAACTGTCTTTGGGACTAAAACATTAATTGGGGGTTATTTACGTGGTATATCGGTCGTTCGACACGAGTTTTGTCCAAGAGGGTGCAAGAACACTATCCCCCATGGTTACGAAAAGGTGTAAGTGGAGCAATAAGAAGCGCGATCATTGAACATCTGGTCGATAATGATCACCCTATCTCTATAGCCTCCGCCTTCAAAGTCATCTACAAGGCAAAGAGTAATTTACCCAAATCCCTACGTACCCGACTCATCTGTATTACTGAAGCTTTGACTATCGAAACAGAAAAGCCAGATCTCTGTGTACAGAAAAAGTTCGTTCAACCCCTCCCCTCCAACTTTCATGGCCTTAATCTCTCTATGCTAAAGTATGGTAATCCCCAATCATATTTTAGCTCTACCAATTTTTCATTTTTTCACTTTTGTCTATTCAATTTGTATACTCTTCCCTATTAAGTCAATTGTTACTATTACTACTCTCACTTTTAAATTGTCCCCGGTATTATTTCACTTGTTCCACTTGTCATTCTAAATGAATTCCTTTATGCAACATTAAATTCTATGCTATTAAATTTCACGCAATATTACGTAACGTTTTCATTTTATTCGATTTGTCTACTAATCTTATAATTGCACACCTTTTTCAAGTTCTATCCATCCTATGAATTATTCTATATATGACATTAATTTGCTTTGCCACTTGACATTTAACTACGATTATAATCACAAACATTTTAGTTTTAATTGCATTTCATATTATTGTTATTTTATGCATTCACACCTATGTTTCAATTCCCTTACCGGATATAACTTCTTAAAACCATGTATATACGATTGTACAGCTTGATGATAAATTCGTTGAAAAGAGTCTCTTCGCTGAATCTTTTGTTTTGATTTTCCTTTTGTTACAATGGGAATTTTCCATGATTTAAGAAAACACTTACCACATTATTATTATTATTATTTGATCCACAAAATCACCGTCATTGGTTAAAATTTTATATATAAATCTATGTAAATTAGAGTAAAGCCTGAAGAAGATCTAATTGAAAACAACAATATTGTTCGCTTATATGTCTTGTTCTAATATTAAAAATGGGAATATTTAAAGATTAGGACGGATACTCATCGATGACGCTGGCCGGGTATCACGTTATACTTCATGAAATGGCTGAACTGATGGGTCACTGGATCCCGTCCCAGTGGCTAAAAATGGTATACGAGCTCGCTTTGTAACCTTGTGGTGGTGTGATACAGACAATGTGTTCCAATGGAATATTATTCTCACATATTCCCACAGTTCAATACTGCATTAGCAACAGAATGCTATATGTATATTTGAACATTCTATTTCATGTCGTTTAGTGTAAACCAAAATCACACGCTCAGTGATTGGTTAAAGAGTATGGTTTGATCACTGGAAAATATACTTTGGCTTCCATGTTTTGCCTTCTGCTGTTATAACCTGAAGGTTCTGAGCTATATCCCTGATGACGTCATGCGTCTGTACTGATGAGGAGTCGCAAAAAGGACGAAACAGCTGTCCAGCACTCCCTAACTTTTCAGTTCTTAATCAAAAAGACACTTGAAATCCATCAAATCCCTACAAATAAACACTTGAAATAATGATTTATGTACAACATGGCCTTATAATTGATTTATTGTCATGTTTATGTTTTTTGTTAACGTTTTCATCTCTGAAAAGTTTCTTTGATTTCTCAAATTTCATTAAACATCTTAACAGTAGTAAATATAACAAAGTCTTTCAATTATTATTATGAATAAGAGAAAAAGTGGAACTCGTTTTTCTTGTTGTTGTAGTTGTTGTTGTGTGTATATATCCTGTGTAAGGGAAAAGAAAAACAACTAGTTCTTTTATAAACTACTCAAATAACAGCATCTTCTACAAATTCGTTTATATACTTTCCTGTTTTGTGTATTTGTTTTTCTTGATTTCTAGGAAATGAGATTTCGAAATAAACTAGTCGATTATCTTTGTGATTGGATTATGGGGAGTAGTTATCATCTGAATCTTTCAGTGCAGACAAATTATTCAACTGGTAATTCATCCAGTAGTAGTATAACAATGACAACAGCCTCTTCGGCTACAGCAAGTAATAATCTGTCTAACCTGACTACTGCGTGTACAGTCACTTCGACGACCAGTTGTCTTACACCAGATTTAAATGAAAGCATTCCCTTATCTAATATACCAATGTTAAATTCATCGATGATAAATCAGCCTGGTTCAAGTATACCAATGAATCAAAGTCAGCATAGTCTAAGTGCTATGGTGGCTGGTTATAATCCACATATAATGACACATCCGAATATTATGTCCAACACTGGAATTTACGGAGTTATCACAAATTCTAGTAGTAGTTATCAAGGCAATACGCCTAATTCATTTAGTATTCCTCATGCTAGCTCATTTGCTCCAGTGAATTGTGGATTAACAAATACTGTTACCCAAGGACAATCAGCAGTCAACTCTTCAAATAGATTCGATTTCCCGTATCCGAATTGTTCATGGGATAGTTCTACACCGAATTTAGGCGTTGGTATCGGGTTGATTGCACATGGTCAGTTTGCTAACAGTCCATTCTCACCGTATTATAATGCTACAGAATTGACTCATTTGAATAATATCCCACAAGGGAATATTTTGGTGAATAACCGCTCAGTGACTGATGGATTAAATATTATGGGACAGAATCATCCATCAAGCATAGTAGGTAACAAATCCACCGGATCATCTTATGGCAATTATGCCTCATGTGGGATTTCCTCCTGTACACCATCGAATATACTACCATTCAATTCAGTTGGAGTTCAAAGTAATATATCGAAGAATGCTGGCAGTACGCAGTCACCTAGTGGAACATACTCCACACCCTCATATACCAGCAGTTTTACTTCAGGAGTGGGCAGTGGAACCTGCGGTATATATCCATACACAAATACCAGTTCAAATTATACCTCAACAATTGCCAGTTCTGGAGTTTCAGCTATAAACAGTGGAACATGCTTCACTAATATGCCAAGCGTTTCTACAACAGCTGGTATAGTAGCACAAACTGCTGCTCAAACAAGAGAATTAGATTTAGCCTGTATGGAGGCTGTAGCTGCACTATTACATGGTATGCCACTACAACCAGAAGAAATTGATCGTGCTGATTTGATGGATGCTAAATCTCACTTATTTGCAAAGTAAGCTACTTTTATAACATTATTTGAAGGTGGAAAAGTATTCCGCTCATTTGGACTGTGATTTCCCAAATATAACATCTCAGTCTGAATAAATGTGTCTCCAAGTCCTCTCAAACAGTTAGTTAGACTTCAGTGTTTGAGGTAAATCACTTTAGATACATCACCTCAATCCCCAAAATAAAGCTGCGAAATGGTCATTTAGCATGTGTATGAGTCAGCTAAATCCTGTTTTATATTTACTTTCGTCATCTGCTTTAAATTAGTACCGAGAAAGTGATATTTTTATGTAAAATATGGCATGACAGTTATGTTGAGTCCAATTCTCAATTCACAAATTAAATTCTTGATTTACAATTTTACAGTTTACACAGTTTTAACACAAATGTTAAGTTAATCAGTGTTTTTTATAGGGGCTAGAAACTTGTCGCGTCACGGGAAGGAAGCATTTTCATTTTTATCCATAATGGAATTATACTCTACCACAGTACAGTGCCCAAGTTTTATCCTTATATCAATCAGGTTGTTACAGAATTTTAATCAACAACTGCCTTCATTGGCTGCATACTGAAGATCAGATGGCCGGTCAGAAAGAATTAGCTACAAGAAACTATGGGAACGAATCAGACAAGAACTCATTGTTCAAGAGATATGCTGAAGAAAATGCAGATTGATCGCACACACACACACACTGAGGACACCTCCGAATGGTGTCGGAGTTGTATGTTCCACTCGAAATTCAAGGGAACAATAATAAGTTTACATAGTTCAAGGTGAAATCTCTCCAGAGTTTCCCTTGAAAGCCAAAATTATTCAGACTTACTTGATAGCATTAAATGGCAATCAAGAAAGTAAACATAATCTCATGGTACTCTATATACTACTAAGTGATTGAGATGAGTAGGTAGGTGATTGCACTCATATCAATCAGTAATGCATACTGGTCAGGTCGATATGATCTAAACGCCAGTCTGCCGTTTCGCTCGTTTAAGGCCGATGTCATCAGCTCAGCAACTGGTCTGATTCAGCTAAGAAAGTCAAATAAGTTGACATCACTTTGCCAGAACTAGTGAAACAGCCGTTCAGCGTTTAGATCACTCCAATCCGGCTAGTAAGTACTAGTGACCGATATAAGATTAATCCAACTACTTACGCGAATCAATCAGTAGTATGGCGTCATTCATGATAAGAATGCGTCTGGGATCGATTTTATCAGTCACATTTATGTTTCTCCTTGATTGGTTTCTAAAATTTAACGATAAAGACTATCGAATTCTAATAGTACTTGCATGTCATTTCAAATAACTTTTGAATTTATCAATAGTAAATAGGATCGACTTTGATCGCCTAGGATTAATTCAAAATATGTCACATCCCATTAAACGACACTTGTACAATTATTAACTGTGTTGAGAACAACTATTTAACGAAAATATTCATTCAGACATCTATAAAACACAAAATAATTGAGCAAAGAATATCCTTTTCGATAATTTCCTCTTCTGGCTCTACAATTACATATCTGTATGTTTATATACATAGAATATTCTAGAATAGTAGTCAATAACAATATTAGTGTTTTTTAAATAATATCGATTTGTAAAGTAAGATCAATGGAATTACCACAGTTCATTAAAGATGCTTAAATTATAATAAGAATAATAAAGATATAATAGCAAATAGAATATCAACTAAAATTAGGAAAATTCCACAAAAATTGAGGATCATTCAAACCTAGATGGCCAAGGTAAGGATAATGTCTGAACTAGCTTCTTTTGGACGCACAAATTAGGCTTCTTAATGTGGATCCCAACAACCAGCCTCAGCAATATTTAGTAGTCGAACTCTTAAGGCGAAATTGAGATTTGTTGGTATGCATTAAATGACCCTGAAAGAGGCCTGGTTAACATCAATCTTCTCGTGATATGGTAATGACACAGCTAAATCCATAATGGTAACTTACTGTTATACACTGATTCCACTTGTTTGATAACTTTGTTGGCTGTTCAGTGACATATATCATACATGACATACATCAAATTGTTTTCTTTTCATATTCAGGTATTTCTCACTTTTCATGAATTTGCTAAACGATGTAGCAGACGATAGAGAGAAAGGTGCAGAGGTTCGACAGAATCATACAGCTCTACGCAATGTAACAGTTCAAGCTATGTCAAATCTTTTAAATGCTAATATTGAATCTGGTTTAGTGCACGCCATAGGTAAGTTTGCTGAATGAAATTATTTTTTTGTGAAGTGTATTGTTCACGATGAAACTTATAACCGTTGCATTCTCAAATCCTCTGTATACAGGCAGAAAATATGAGCTGCCTTGACAGTGTAAACAGAGTCAAGATAGTGAAAATAGATAGTTAAAACTGTCGAACAAGTAGCTCAGGTGAATGATTTTGCGCTGAACATGTTGTCTAGATGGACAACGAAAGCTTCGTAATTAAATCAACTAGCCCAGAGAACACAACTAAATCAGAAACTCAAACTATCTAACTTCTGGTTGGCAAGGTGAATTGACCTACAGACTTATAGAGTATTACTTGTTGATATGAGTGGTTAGGAAATAATCATATTAGTCAATGGTGTGTAGTATCAAGCCCTTATGATTGGAGTCTCCATGTTATTTTTGGCATCAGTTGGATATATACAGGTTATGATCTTGCCTATTGTGTCTTTCCAACGAATCCTTAATGTCAGTTAACCATATATCAGCGTTTTAATCAACCCATCTCTTCTAACTAGTTGACCAAAAGTTATCAAAGTCCCAGTAGAATTCACTGAGTCTCTGCAATAAATGTACCTGTGAATCTCAGCCTCAGTATTACGTTGTGTGTCAAAATGTCGTCAAAAGAGCTCTCTGTTGATTTTCTTATTTTTCATTCTGGAGTTTATTGACGCTTTGTGTATAATAGGAGAGGAATAAGAAATTAGAAGGATATTTAACATGGTTGTATACATCCAATATATGTGAACAAGTGTTTCATTTATTGCGCAAAATAAGTTTAGTCTCTCGTAAATTCCTAGAACAAGCAGGACCAAGAATAGGACCAAATACGTTCTAGACAATTAGTTGCTGCGTCATCTTGAAACTGTCATTAGTCAGTGTTGAACTGATGTTCAACTTCATTCCCCTTATTCTCCTTTATGAATGTGAATAAAGCAAGAATAACAGTTTGTACAGAATAAAATGGTACCATCATTTATTTCTCTGGCTTCTAAGAAGCCGCGTACAGCGCAAAGAAATTATTAAGTTTATGTACAGAAGATTTTTAACATACTGTCAGCTGACAGGAGACTCCACACTGAATAAACAGTGCTCATAAATTACTGTGATGATATAGTTTTTACCCAAAGAATTCAAGTTTAAACAAAAATCAGTGTATGCATACAATGGCAAAGGAGTTACTTAATAGAGACAAGTGGGGAAGATAATGAGTAACTAATATATTCAGTAACAACAGAGTGAGTTCAACTCATATCATATGAACAGGAGACAAGCAAAGTTACACCGTATAATAAGAGGGTAGAGGTCAAAGCCAAAGATTACACAATCAAATGAAAGAGTGAATGAACACATCCAGTCAAGTCACCAGGGCAAGAAGACACTGACAACTCCTTCTTTCTGAATACATTAGTCGGCTTTCAGGCGTCTGACAGCGATTAATTTCGTCCATTGGTGATTTTAAAGCCCTTCATGGTGTACACCTATTGATCTCGTCTATTGATAATTTTGAAGGATTTCGCAATGTCTACCTTATGACCAGTATTAACGAAATGTCAAGCAATTGAAACATTGTAAACATTTGTTCCCTCGAGACGTAGGCTTTTCCGCACATGTTCAGAAAATTGGCGGTATGCCCTTCTTTCTGGTCTCTCAATGTAACTGCTACCACAGATACACGTACATTCGTATACACAGATAGAGTTAAAATGAGAAGGGTATCTATCGACTTTTGATTACAACAAACAGCATGTTGTCTGATAAACTGGAACCAACTTAGCTACAGGATAGGTTCTGGCTAGCGACGTATTCAGTCTTCTTTCAACTATTTCTACAATATTACCACCTTTGAAGTCGAGTTCAATGAAGATAGGTTTTTTCCGCACTGTGATTTGTTTGTCGTTTGAGCCTACACAACTTCAGTATTTGTCAATGAATTTCTTAGGATAACCGTTGTTCTTCAACATCTTTTCCAAGAATCGGAAATTCTCCCAATAATTTTTTTTTCTGTAGAGCTTATTCTTTTAGCTCTATAAACGAGAGTTTTGACTAGTTGTCATTTATAGCTATTTGCACAAAGTTCAACTACACTTTCTCTCTATACGTCAACTAAAAAGCTGCTTGTTGTATTCTTCCTCATCTTCTTTTTCTTCTTCTTCTGTCAACGACAGTAAAGATAAATATTGACAAGCAGTGTTGTATATGGCCTATTTCAATGGTATGTTTTTGTCAGTTAGAATAACACAACAAACTTATGAATATTTCAAGCAACAATAATAAAGCGATCAACTAATTCGTCTTACTGAATTTTTAAATAGCATTTATCTTATCTATGTCTCCAACTAGTTCCCGCCTACTTGAAATTTTAAAAACGAAGACAAGAAAAAATTGGAGTGATTGTTCCTAGTGGATAAACTGTTTTACTTATTTAGCAAAATTTTATTATCAAGTCTTGGCTTGCTAGGAAACGATTGGTTACAGGATTGATCACGACCTGACATCAGTTGGAGAACCATTGGAAAACCATGGAGTATTGGACAGCTTTGTCGTCCTAGCCTATGGTACTCTTCAGTAGTACCCACTTACAGGAGTGTGGACCCAGGACCTTCCAGTTAGGAGGCGAGCTCGTAGACCATTCAGCTACTGGGACCCGACCCAATGGTCCATTAATTCCATCTTCTGCCGATTCTTGATACATATTTAGCGTAACCGCTAACCGATGTCACGGGCGAGTAACTGTCTTCTTGCCTGACTTAAAGGACCCCGCAGAAGACCCTGGGTTCAATGCCCAGTGGGTGCGGACTGATGAAGAGTCCCAAACTAGGACGAAGCAGTTGTCCAGAACTTCCTGGTAGTTTTCTAATGGTCCTCTAACTGATGTGAGCTCGTGATCGATCGTGTAAAATTCTATTATTCTATCTGTCTTGACACACATAACACAAGCGAATTCTGCTCGGAAAAGAAAATGCCTGAAATCTATCAAAAAATGTGTTTCTTGAGTTTAGAAGACAAAAGGATTGATGGGAGAAATGTTTACCTTTCACAATTAGATCCTTGTCTATAGTACTCCTTCAATATATGTAGAAATTAAAAATCCCCATAGTATAATCAGAATAAGATGGTTTTGAGCGATAACTTCTTCCGACCAAGTTAAACTTTAACCCCCACTAACTACCAATCAGCGAATGGCCTCAAATGGTCCAATGAGGTTCGTGCACGTGAGTTCAAGGTTGCATAGCGCTTGATTCGCATCAAATGCCTGCTTTAATTAAGTTACGCTTGCAGTCTGATGAGGATAAGGTTTTGCAGTATTGTCTGGATTTCGGGTTGTTTAGGAAGGAGAGGATTTGTTCATGTGGTGTTGTCATGAGTTTAAAAAAAACTTTAGCAGGTCGATTGATGGATATGTCCATTGTTGTGCAATTTGCTTGAAACGAGTTAGAATTAGGGAAGGTAAGCTGATAATTTTGACATTTCGTAGGAACATTTTTTGCTAGATAGCATCTCTCCCTAACCCAGATTTTGTATGTTTGTAATTACGGGATTTTAAAACAGCCCGTGAGAGGCGCAGCTGCTGAAACCGAAAATAGCCTCATGTCAATAGTTCAGTGGTACCAGCACTATAGAGACATCGTCTCATGGAAAATGGAGAGAATTACTTCGTTGTTAGGCGGAGAAGGTATCGTCGTACATGTGGACGAAACTGTGTTACTGAAGAAAAAAATACAACCGTGGTTGTGACCGAGCCAACAATGTTCAGGTGATCGGTTAATATGACACCTGCTTGCGGAAAGGATTCGTGGAGAGAATACTAGACAGAAAGTCAACTACCTTAATACCTATTGTCACTCGAAGTTTAACTCTGCCCTTCTTCCTCTCAGGCTCTACAGTTATAAATCCATGATTATTGGAATACAACAACAGCCAGCCAATTAAGACAATTGGAAATTATATCTGAAATTGTATTGGTGTACATGTATAAGATGGAGCGGATAGTTCGTTAGTTAATATTGTCAATTGAATGTATAATAAAAATACACAGTCGTTCATATCATAAAATGTGAATAGGGAACTGGGTGACATCCTAGTGTGTTTATAATCAACAGGATATAAGTTTCATTGGTGGAAGGTAGTGACTTATATTCAGTAGTGTAAGAGTAATATGATTACTACGAAATACATACAGAAGCATACCAAAAAACGGGAAATACTGAATGTAAGTTCAACAGCTGACAGATATGAAGTGTATTGATAAAATAAAGCAGTGAAATTCTACTGTGGTATAAAATACTATAGACATGATAAGCTTAGTGTAAATTACTAAGGTCGACACATAATAAGGATAATAATGGGGGGAAGTAAACTAGGTGACAAGGTTTAAGAAAGGCATAATTTAAAAAAAATTCCTTTACGACCCCGGGGAACATAGGGCTTCAAACTACAGGCTTGACGTTTCAGTAGCAGTGGGGTTTTTATTTTTACGGGATGGGGCTGCTAGCATCATGTCAAACCTTGCCTCTTTACCAGTCTTATTACTGGCTTAGCGAATTGATGGAGTGCGTCGATCGGGGATCGAACCCCGGACCACATCTGTGCCACCGATGCACAAGAAAGGTATAATACGATATGAAAATATGGATGATTTTATCCCTGCTAACCCCGTTGTAGACCAGGGTAAAATGTTGATGCAACACAGAATTTTCCAATCTAGTGATGACAAGTATGTTAACAATAATTAGTCAATATCAAAATGCCAACGGAGTAATAGTTAACTGAAATATCAGTACTTCTATTGAAAAGGTAGAAATATTTGCAAAGATTGCACGAATAAGTTGTGACCAGTGGGGTTATATCAGGTTGGATGTGAGGACAAATACTCGCCGATGACATTGGCTAGTGATCGCGCCATATCATGATTAGGCAGAAGTTGGAATTCATGTACTGGCCATTGGATCGTGTCCTGGTGGCTTAATGGTATACGAGCTCATCTTGTAAGCAGAAAGTCCTGGGTTCCAACCCTGGATTTAAGTGAGTGCTGCCAAAGAGTCACAAATTAGTCTGAAGAAAGAGCTGCCCAGTGCTCCCAGGTTTTCCAATGGTCCTCTAACCGATGTCAGTTCATGATGAAACCCTGAAACAAACAAAAAATTAAGCAGGTACAGATCCTCCAAGCTTTTTGTGTGGGTCCATTTTATACCTGTCTCCTCGTTGCCCAGCCCGCTGTCTGTCGCATTATCCAGTCTGTCGCAATCAGGAAAATCATTGGAGATAGTAGGCAGTCTTTACAAGCATACTAACTAAAAATAATTCGGCCTAACTAAGATACATCTTATCTTCCTTCTTAAGGTATCCTTTGTATTTCTTTGAACTAAAGGAAACTTATCATGGAACAGTTTTGCACAATACACTCTGTGAAGTCAAATGACTGTAAGAGCTTTGTGTTTTCCTTAACATTTATATTTTCGTTGTATTAAGATTAGTTTTCACTTTTATCAAAGTATCATTCGTTTCTTATCACCCTCAAAAAAAATTATATATCTATTTTTAAACCTCAGGTTTAGGTTATCACAGAGAACCACAAAGTCGAGCTGCATTTATGGAAGTTTTGACAAAAATTTTACAACAAGGCACAGAATTTGAAACTCTTGCTGAAACTGCTCTAGCTGAAAGATATGAGCGTTTAGTTGGTTTAGTCACTATGGTTGGTGAAAATGGTGAACTGCCCATAGCTATGGCTCTTACTCAAGTTGTCTCATGTAATAATATGGTATGTTCATCTTTTTTTTAAAATTTTATTCCCACTATTGTGTTTAACTTTAGGGCTTAGATTTAATTTCTGTTTAGTTTTCTGTGTAAATTTTGTAGTATTCATATGATTATGACGAAAAATAAGCTGATTACGATCCATGGAATTTATCAGTCAGCTAATGAACAAAGACACTTGAACCCTGTGTATATTTTTATTGTACAACATGTTTCAATTCAGAAATTGATACTACTGTTACAAAACGTCATCGTGAAATTAAATTACTTTATGTATTCTGTTAAGCGTGGATTTTCGTTAGATTGTATAAAATTTTCGACTGGGGATTACATCGTTATCGCTTATCTGGAGGAATAGTTCAAGATTACGCGATTGGTGGGGCACAGTAATTAGTATTTGATTGCATGGAGGATTTCATCATGAGCTGACATCAGTTAGAGAACCACTGGAAAACCAACTGGGAGTACTGGACAGCTGTTTCGTCCTAGTTTGGGACCCTTCAGCAGTACGAACCCACCTAGGCTGGAACCCAGGACCTTCTAGTTACAAGGCTAGCGAGCTCGTAGACCATTGAGCTACTGAGACCCGATCCAATGGTCCTTGAATTCTAACTTCTGCCAATTCACGACATAGCGCGACCGCTAGCCAATGTCTTCGGCGAGTATTTGTCCTCACACCCGACCTGCTGCACTCTACTGGTCACGACTTCCCACAAGAACCCCCAGGTAACTACCGACCTGAATAGGTAGGCCCAGCGCCAGTGAGCATCTCATTGATATTTAAGTATTGGTTTGTAGGGATTTGACTGATTGGTTTCAGGATTTCATAATGAGCTGACACTGGTTAGAGAACCATTGGAAAACCTGGGAGTACTGGGCGGCTGTTTCGTCCTAGTTTGGGACTCTTCGTCAGTACGAACCCACCGGGGCTCGAACTCAGGACCTTCTGGGTCAGCTCATGATGAAATCCTGATACACAAACCTTTCTTTAGGATCTATTTTTGGTCCATTACTAGCAGACTGTTTCATGGCTAGCCTCAAAAATGGTCCAATAAATTCGACCACTGACAATTTACAACTGTATTCGAGGTACGTAGATGACATTTTCATCATTTGCGACAATAGTTATGACCTCAGTTAATTGCTACCAGTGTTTAATAACTTCTATTCGGTAGTGAAATCTAATGTTGAAATGGTAAACGAATCCAAAATTCACTTTCTTGATGTAGAATTAACAAAGAGACCAGACATAATCTTAATAAATAAGTTCAGTTCATAGAAAACCAACGGTTGCGTGCCTGTTGAAAGAAAGCGAAATTTAATTAAATCTCTTGTCACTCCGATTCGATGCATCTGTAGTCCTGACGCTGAAGAAGCAGAACTAGATCTTCTGAAAGAAACCTTCATCCATCAAAATTCATTGACAAAAACATCAGGCCAAAAGTTCAGGGAGACGAAACACTACTTTCTCCAAAACACAAACTTTATATGAACCTGGATTTCAAGCGAGACTAAACCCGCATTATCCTTAATAGAATAATTTCATCGTTTTTGAGAAGAACATTCTTCTGAGCAATGCTAAGAATAGTATTCTCTAGTCGTCCATTGGTCTGCAGAAGCCTTAAGAACCAAATCTCTCATCTGACCACTTGTAAGTGTGTTTGTCAGCTCACCTGTTCTTTTGGAGCCCAGGTATATTGGTTGTTCGACGAGTATCCTGTCTGAAAGGGTCCAAGAATACTATCCGGCATAGGTGGAGAAAGGTAGTAGTGGCTATACAAGCATTGTGATAACCGAACACCTTGTGAACACTGCTCATTCTGTCTCAACGAATGTCTCCTTCAAATTAATCTACAAAGTGGAGAAAAACCTGTCAAAGACAATACACTCTAGCCATTCAGTTAGAAAAATGGGAGCTATGTATAGAAAAGAATATTATTCGACTACTTCTGCAATCATGGTAGCGACCGTTGTTTCCTACTAACTTGACTTTTGTTTGTTTTTTCTGACTCTTGTATTAGTTTAGAACTCTTACATATTTTCCTTCGTTTCTATATGCATCCTGATTATAACTCATTCATTAAATTATTTATCTTTTTACGTAATTATAATACACTTATTCACCTCCTCTTATGCACTGAGTAACATTAACAACTATAACTGTGACAACTGATCATTTCTGTTACTGTCCGCTTTCATTAAAAAGAAATTGTACATAAATACGATTGTGCAGGTGGAGAGGAAATTAAATATCCCGAAAACAGCCTCTTCGCTGAATTACGTATTTTGTTTTCATAAAAATTTTAAAAGCCAACAAACTGTAACCGGCATAAATGAGGATTTTATTATGATCATCTTTCTCAGATGATAGAATGTTATCCAATTTTAATAATATTCGAAGACTACAGTTGGGGGGATCATTGTCTCAACTACAGGAGGAACGGACGAGGATGTCAAATCGAGAATCGGGAAGGCGAGAAACACATTCACAAACCTGAAACCAATCTGGAAATCTTCGTCACTCAGCATCAACAACAAAATTCGGATTTTCAATACAAACGTCAAGTCAGTCAGTTCTTCTATACGGATGGATTAGAAACTTGGCGGGTCACAAAGAATATTTCCAACAGCCTGTTGCAGACCTTTATCAACAGCTATCTTCGTTCTATACTGAAGATCAGTTGGCCGGAAAGAATCACCAAAAAGGAACTATGGGAACAAACAAAACAAAAACCAATCGCTCAAGAAATATGCAGGAGAAACTGGAGATGGATTGGACACTCGCTGAGGAGGCCGCCGAGTAACATCGCGTGTCAGGCCATAGCTCGAGTGGAACCCGAAAGGGAAGCGACGAGTGGGACGTCAGTGCAAGGGTGACATGGAGGAGATCGTGTGAAGAAGAGTTGAAACAGTATGGACTAACATTGATGCAAGTGAAAAGTACATCAGAAGACAGAAGCAATTGGAGGCGTGCAGTTGAAGCCCTATGTTCCACTAGGAACCCATGGGAACAATAATAATACAGTTGGTTCCACATAGATTTCGTCATTATTTCAAAGTTAACCATAGTTTAGTTTTCTTCAGTTTTGTACCAATCCGATACAAAATCAATTTGGTTAGATGCCTTACGAATGAATAATTTAATGTCACACTATTAATAAGTTCTCTTGTGTTTCTTATTAAAAACTGTTTTAAATGTAGAATTGAAGCAATTAAACTATGAACAAGACATATAAGCGAACAATATTGTTGTTTTCAATTAGATCTTCTTTAGGCTTTACTCTAATTTACATAAGTTTACTTATAAAAAAATATTAACCAATAACGGTGAGTGTGCAGATCAAATAATAGTAATGTGTTGAATTTTCCGGACGTCAGTATTAGCGATGATTATATATATATATATATATATATATATATATATATGGCTTCAACCTCTCTCCCCTTATTATACAGTATAACTTTGGTTGTCACTTGTTCTTATGATTTGAGTTGAACTCACCATACTGTTAATCACTTTATTGGTTACTCATCATCTTATCCACGTCTTGTCGTTATTACTTAGCTCCTCTGCCATTGTACCTAAGACTTAATTTTCTGTATAAATTTGAACCTTTTGTGCACAAGCTATATCAGTGTAATTTTTGAGCGTCCTGTCAACTGACATCACGCAGCATTTGCAAGTATGTTAAACGCGTGCTATACATAAAATTAATCAGTTCTACAGACTGTAGGCAGCTAATGAGAAGCCAACGAAAAAAATAAATGATGGTACCATCTTATTGTGCACAAACTGTTGTTCTTGCTTTACTACAAAGAGAATTGGCTTTATGAGTCGTGACCATATATGACCAACCCATAATAATTTTGCATGAATATGAAGTTGTAATTAATTCGAATGCAGATTCCGGCCTAATGGTCACTGGGCTCTCTTCACGATTTTAAGATCCTAGGTTCGATCCCCATTGGGGAGATGGGTCGTTCTCCCAAACTGCCAAAGAGTCCAAAACTGGGACGAACCAGACATGCATTACTCCATGGTTTTATAATGATTATGTAACTGAGATTTCGTTACATGAAGTAACCAATATATTCAGATCATTAATACTCTTAAATCATTATTGTTTATTATATTTACAGGATGAATTGGCTCGAGTACTTGTCACATTGTTTGATGCTAAACAATTACTTTATCAATTATTCTTCAATGTATTTTCTAAAGAGGTTAGTGCATTATTCTTACTTCTAAATATATAAGTTTATTTAAATCTTTAACAATATATTGGTAAACAAATGTCACATAAAATAACTCATATTACATATTACCTTACTTTGTAATTGGACACACAATTTTTTTTATCCCTTTACGTTCCGAGTGGAACATAGGACTTTAGGTTAGAGCTTTGAAGTTTCTGTAGCAGTGAATTTATTTCTGCGGGATGGGATTGCTAACCGCACGCTCAGCATCCCCTCTTTGCTGAATAGGCGAAGGGTAGAAGTGCGTCGGTGGAGGATTGAACCCCCAGGACCTTATACGTGGTTGGCGAGCATTCTACCGTTGCACCACCGACGTACAATTGGACACAAGTGTTTACATTACTATGTATATTCTCTGTTAGTATTTCTCTTTGATTAAAGTTTTAGTAACTGTTAAATCAAAACTAGACAAAAATAAAAGATTTCTGTTAGTGACTGACAATTTTTAAAACAAAAAATAATTGAGCAAAGAATATCCTTGTCGATAATTTCCTCTTCTCGCTCTACAATTTTATATCTGTATGTTAATATACATAGAATATTCTAGATTAGTAGTCAATAACAATATCAGTGTTTTTTAAATAATGTCGATTTGTGAATTAAGATCAATGGAATTGCCACAGTTCATTAAAGATGCTTAAATTATAATAGTAATAATAAAGATATAATAGTGAATAGAATATCAACTAAAATTGGGAAAATTTCTACAATAATTGAGGATCATTCGAAACTCGATGGCCGAGGTAAGGACAACGTCTGAACTAGCTTCTTTTGGACTCACAAATTAGTCTTCTTAATGTGGATCTCAACAGCCTGCGTGGTTAAGTAAAGGACAAACAAAATCTATTTGTAGTGCTGTTCTATCTCATCTTGTGGATACAGAACACAAAATTGATGTTAACGAGGCCTCTTTCAAAGTCATTTGCTGCATTCCAACAAACCTCAACTTCACCTTAAGAGTTCGACTACTAAATATTGCTGAGGCTGTTGGGATCCACATTAAGAAGCCTCATTTGTGCATCCAAAAGAAGTTAGTTCCGACATTATCCTTACCTTGGCCATCTAGACTTGAATGATCCTCAATTTTTGCGAAATTTTCCTAATTTAGTTTATATTCTAGTTGCTATTATATCTTTATTATTCTTATTATAATTTAAGCATCTTTAATGAACTGTGGCAATTCCATTGATCTTACTTCACAAATCGACATTATTTAAAAAACACTGATATTGTTATTGACTACTAATCTAGAATATTCTATGTATATTAACATACAGATATAAAATTGTAGAGCGAGAAGAGGAAATTATCGACAAGGATATTCTTTGCTCAATTATTTTGTGTTTTATAGATGACACTTTTTCACTAAAAAATTAAAGATGACAACGGTGAGTGTAACATTTAAAGTCAACATGTTCAGTGATTCCTATGTCTTTTACAGTACAAATATATTTGATTCTTTATCTGACATTGTCAGCAAGATATAATAAAAGTGTGTAAAGATGTTTTCCATAGTCATTTGTGAAGTTTGCTACAGCATACTGAACTTCAGTCTCCAAAGAAGACTTTGATTCAACACTAGGTAGTAAGTAACTAGTGTCATGCGTCTAGTCCTTTGTCTGGTGCAGATAAGTGAAGTTTGCAATGTGGTCACCATGCCACCAGGTGGCTCGCCATTACGGTGCACTATGAATTTTTGTCATTAGATGGTTGGAGATAATCAGCAGGAAGCCTTGGAAGACCTAGGTTTCGTGCTTGTTAGCACTTATCATCAGCAAGACGCTTCTGCATCCTTGAAGGAAATTATGTCGCCCCCACCTAACTGATAGAATTCAATCTGCACCAACACCAAGGACTAAACGCATGACACTAGTTACTTACTACCCAGTCTTACGGAAGGTCAATCGCAACTACGAATAGCTCAATGGTAGCGTTTTCTTACCTCAGCGCTGAGTGACACGGGTTTGAATCTCACAAGAGACTTGAGTTCCTTCAAGATTGCAGATACGCCCAGCTGACTGATGATTGCCAACAGCAACTAAGCCTAGATTCAAGGCTTCCTGTCGATTGCCTTCAACTGTCCAACTTATCAAGTGAGCTGCCATTAAGGAAGATGAAATGAAGTAAAGATATCCTTTGCTGCAGCACTGGGTATTTCATAAGATATATAATCTATGTTGCTAAAAGATGCTTCCATGTAAGTTCCATGTACACCCTTGGTTACTATTCAAATCAGTGCTGTATATTCATTTTACTACAGAAATGTATTATGTTGAGGTCACCCCGACAACTCAAAAGAAAGATGAAAAGGTTGTTTCTTTCAACATATTTATTTGATTATAAACTCATGTCAACTGTAATTAGTGTTTGTTTAGTCACAGACGGTGTTCAGACTGGAATGGAATACACAAATATGAATATTACTGCTGAATATATAATATATCATTTCTCTACAGGAATAATTAAGCGAAGCGAATCATCTTCCCTTTTTTTGAAGTTGTTCAGATATACATAAGCGATAAGTTTTCATCTTAAAATCTGTCTTCTGAGTATATGCACATATGTATGCACTCAAAGTCAAGGAGGACTAGACATGTGTTTCGTCCTGACTTAGGACTCCTCAACTGCATACATCAGGTTCTTAAATCTAGGATCTTCAAGCGATGAGCCAAGATTGTTGCAGTCCAGTCACTGGTTCAGAATCGACCCCCCCCCCTTGAATGAAGTTTCCCATAGTGGACATATGAGGTGTGTGTGAACAGACAGCGTAAAAAATTCGTGATCAAATAGGTTATCTTCTTATTGTAGAATTCTGAATTGGCAGATATTTTCAGAGATATCATAAACAGTACATGTTCATGGGTGATGTAAACTTCCTGCAGTATTTATGATATTTGTTATATCTGGCCAACCGTATATGTGTAGTAGCTATGTAGTTTAACCAGGTTAGGTATGTTTTGGCTGTTCCCCCAAACTCTCCAACCTACTGATCAACACCACAAGCTAATGTTGTAAGTGATAAACATAAGCAAGATTCATGTAAATATGTTTCTGTACATTAATGAGTATGCATACACCTGTTTTGATTATGAAATCATATTTTTTTCTAAAATGCTTTTTCATGTTCATGTGTGCGTCGGTGGCACAGCGGTAGGATGCTAGCCAACCAGGCCTCATATGGTCCGGGGTTCGACCCCCAGCCACAGACGCACTCCTTTACTTCGCTAAGCCAGTAATAAGACTGGTAAAAAGAGAAGGTTGGGCATGAGGTTACCAACCCCATCCCGTAAAAAGAAACACCATTGCTACCGAAACTTCAAGCCTGTAGTTTGGCTTGAATCCCTGTGTTCCACTGAGAACGTAAAGGAATGAAAAGAAAATGTTTGTTTAATAAAGAATTAGCATTATTCATCGTTTCTATTCATTCACTTTATGCATAATATTTAGCTTGAGTCAACTGATAGTATGCAGACACTGTTACGTGGAAATACAATGACAAGTAAAATTATGAATTATTGTTTCAAACAATTTGGCCGAGACTATTTACAATCAGTATTAGGTCCTGTACTTATGGAGTTGGTTAGACGAGATGCTGGAAATTCAAGTGGTTATATGCCGCCTGTTCCACTTTCACCAATGTCAACAACAACAACAACCACAGCAGCAGCAGCAGCAACAACAACAACAACAACGGCGCATAATATTACTAACAACACTGTGAGTAGCACTAATGTATCAAGTTATAATTGTAAGCAACAAGAGGCAAAGAAGTTGATAAACGATAATAATGATAACAATGACTTATTGGATGATATAACAAAATATCCTCATACAACGCTGAATTTATCCTATGAAGTTGATCCTAGACGCTTACAACCGAATGAAAATTTAGAAGATAACCAGAATAACTTGATCTTTGCAACTGAATTACTATATAATAAACTTATTAAATCTGTAGACAGGTAAGCGCAACACTTAATGACATATGAAAAGTTTTTTCAAAATTTTGTCTTATTCCTCATATATGAGCGTTTTAGTCACTTTTTGGATTTACCCCTTGGATGAATTGTTCTCCTAGCTAGTTAGTATTGTTTCACTCGCAGCTTTGTATGACATACTACACAGTAATTTCCCACTATCCCCATTTCTATTCAATTTCATCATAGATGTACTAATGGACTTAACCTTAACTCACTTCAGAGACTAAGGGATTGACTTGCTACCAGGGAATAATCTCGTTGACTTAGAATTTGCAGATGATATAGTCCTTGTAGGCGAAGACGCTGACAAAATGCAGAGTCTTCTGAACACCTTCGGCATGCGATTCGCCCCTGCCAAATGTAAGATGATGTTACGGGACTGGACTACACTGAATCCTAGTTTAGAAATAGGGAGTGAAGTGGCAGAGCACGTTGACCACTTCAATTATTTGGGAAGTTGCATCAGCCCCAAAGGGTTGATGTTGATGAAATCTCAGCACGGATACAGAGGCCTAGTTTCGCATATGCCAGTTTACGCCGTCTCTGGCTTAATAGACATGATATCCGGCCGGCTATCGACCAAAGGGCGGGTGTACTGCTCAGCAGTCCGCTCCGTCTTCCTTTACGGCTGACTATGAGACATGGCCATTGAGAGTGGAAGACATGAAAAGACTAGCTGTCTTTGATCATAGGTGCCTGCGTTCTGTCTCCCGTGTGAAGTGGTGTAATAGGGTGAGCAATATTGAGTTTAGGTGTCGAGTGCTAGGTAAGAGGGGGGAATCAATCGATGAGGCTGTGAATTTACATCGACTGAGATGGTTAGGACATGAGTTATACATGCCTGCCTAGCCATCGCCTTCCTCGACGGGAAATGTTAGCTGACATAGGGTCAGGCTGGAAAAGAGCTAGCGGCGGTCAAACCAAAACATGGCACCAGTCAGTGAAATCCACAACAGTTGGTTTAAGCCACGTAGGAAGATTTAGACTTCCTGACTAGTTGGGGTCCTCGGGACGGTAAAAAACAATGAAGGCTGAAGACAATTGGTGATATGGTTCAAAATCGTTCTCAATGGCTAGCTCAGGTGCATCCACTCCTTGTGACTTATAATTTCCAATGAAACTATATTGTTCTTCGTTATTACTATTCCTTTGTCTCATATCCCTGTTTACTGTCTCTATTTTACATTTCTTCTACTTTCTTCTCCTGCTTTGTGTTCTGCATGGAGTGTGGCGACTTGAACTGCTGCACATCTGTGCAAAGTTCTATGTAAAAAACAGACAGACTACACAGTAATTTGGATATAAATGAAATCTCTATCACACAGAATATCAGCCTGGAAGATATTTTAGTCTGAACAGAATTTACTTACTAATGTTACTAGAAGAGGTGGAAATTCATTTAAGCTTCGGAGAAGCCTACCGACATGTATTTGATAAAATATATGCATTTAATTTCTTATGTGTAATTCAAAAATTAGCTGACGTATCATTTTAAAGCTTTTTTTTCAAAATAGATGATCAGTATACTAAAACTTTCTGATTGTGTTATAAGTTTGACCACGGATTGATATCAGTTAGAGAACCAGGGAGTACTGGACAGCAGTTTCGTCCCAGTTTGGGAATCATCATCAGTACGCACCCGCTACCAGGGTTCGAAGGCAGAGTCTTTTGGTTACAAGAGAAGCTCGTAGACCATTCAGCCACTGGGAACAGACCCAATAGCTCATGAATTCCAAGTTCTACCAATTCGTGATTTTAGCCACTGTCATCAGCGAGTATTTGTTCTTCCACTCGACCTGGTGGATTCCGCTGGTGACAAATTATGGCTAGAACTGCAGGAAACTTCGTCCTATACCTGGTAGTCATTAACGAGCATCAGATTACTTTTCAAGAGTTAGTCAATACGGATTTGATTGATTTCAAGTTTGACCATGGAGTGAAACAGCTATCCAGTACAGTACTCCGCGTGTTTTCAATCGTTCCCCAAATGATATCAATCCGTGGTCAAACGTGGAAGAAACCAAATTATTGCAAACTAACTTTTAAAGATGGACAATATAATTTTGACAACTATCAGATTGAAAACATTTATTTCCCGATACGAATTTAAAACAAGCAATAAAGCTTAATAAAGCAGGAGTTAATGAATTCATCAAATTTCCGCAGAACTCTTCCTCAGCGAAATACACTACTTACCGGGATATAGTATTGGAAATACATTGGGATATATTAGATTGATAAGCAAATAAACTACGTTGAGTTAATCATGCAGAAAAACAAGTGCGAATGTTTCCAAATTCATGTTGAAATAGATAAGGGGAAGGGAATATGAGAGATTGAAATTAAGATAAATTGCATTACGCTTCAATTACATCACTTAGATAAATAATTAGTCATTAGAGAATATATTAAGAATTGCAATTGTAATGAAAATACGATGTGGCATCAAGCTGTAATCAAAAATAAATAATAAATAAATATTAAAAAAATAAAAAATAAATAGTAATAATAACACTGAAGTGAGTTAAGATAATGCTACTGATAAACGATAGTTTTGCAATTAGTAGTGTTCTCTGAGCTGGTTGGTTTAGTTGCGGAGTTTTCCTCGTCCTTCTGGACAACATTTTCAGCGCAATTTTTAGCATAATTGCAAATCATCCACCTGAGCTACAAATCTTCTCTATTATTTCAAAATGATAGTTTTAAATGAAACAAGAATAATAATGAGATATAATAATAAGTAAAACGTATTATCTTGGTAGATTGAGAGTGACGGCCATCTCCTTTTGTGCACAGAGACCCGGTTTATAAACTCGAAATTTGATGAAATCATTAAATCCTGCCTCATTAACCTTTGTTGCTTGTTTTAAACTATCAGATTAATTAATATTGTTTTAAATCTAATCCAATGTTATCTTGACCGGTCCTTATTATTAGTGACTAAGTTGTAGTCATTCTGTCGATCGTCTACTACCCCCAAATATAGAACTATTAGATAAGTTGCAATTTTAGATCAATATGTAATATTTCATCAAGGTATAGAAATTTGTAAGCAGTTAGTCTATCACTTGTATTCTACATCCCTCATTCGTATACTATGGTAGGTTTAGTCTCTAGATATGTTGGGTTTCTACTTATCTCACCGATGACAGTTAGTTATTCAAGTATTAAGCCAAATTACACAAATAACTAAGTTATTGCGTGGTCGTTGCTAAAGTTCCAAGATTTGGTGAATAGAACAATATTTATTCCGTAAATATTAAATTTCCCAGGGGGGGGACTTCCCTTTGCAATGACTATTAACAAGCACCAAGTTTAAATCCAGAGATTCCTGTCTGTTAGTTAAAGCAGGCTAACTGTAAACGATATGTTATTAAGTCATACAAAATAGACAGGCTTATGAGTGAACTGGTATCTAAATAGATTTATTCCAATACATTTGAGTAGCCTAGCAAGATGTCGTCTACCTTCAACCTCACCGATTTATTTTCTATTCAGTGACAAATTATGAGCGACTGTGAATATTTTTATTTATTTATTTCAGTTTATTTATTTATTTACTGTTGTAAACGTGTCTATTCATCATTTGTAACACCAAAATTGGTTATAATAAAGATAAATATACTCTGTTATGGTTAGACAACGGCCAGGGGTTTTATAAGTGATTACCACTCATGTTTTCTAATATTTCAAATGGTTTGGTGGATAGTGACTAGCAGTAATGAAATCCAGAACAACGCACATTTCGTCCTATTTGAGTGTTGTCATCTGGGCGTATCTGTATTCCCCAGTCAGTGAACCTGAACCCAGTATCCATCGTCTTCAAACGTCAAAGCGTTATTCACTGAGCCACCTGGGCCACGAGAGCCACCACTTCTTGTGCAATGGATATGAGTTATTATTTAATCCAGTTTAGAAAAGAGGTGGCTGTAATGGCCCAAACCGTGTAGTGAATAACGCTTTAGCCTTTGAGACGATGGGTACTGGATTCGAGTCTGAGTGGTAACAGCATCACTCACTGATTGGGGAATGTGGGAACCATCCACTAGCTGATGAGTAGTCACAGGTAAGATGAGATGCACGTTGTCCTGGATTCCACTAATGCTAGTCACCATCTACCAAATTACTTCATGTTAAGCCCCCAGACATCATCGAAACAGCCTCCCAAGGAGCCAACATCTGAACAGAGGCCGAGCACTTCAGTCCAATCCGTCAACCGGAAAGTCCAAATTGCATTAAATGGTTTAGAATGTTGTTAGAAGTTCTGTTTATTTATATGATGCCTAATAAATAATGTACATACTATCTAGTAGTTTACACATCATATCTTACAAATAAATTTTTCCAAGCCATGACCAAGATCCCATTTCTAATTTCTGTGTACTCCGCGTATTTGACGACAACTGTTGCGTAATATATTTGCTTAGATTACAATATCAGGAAATGTCAAAAGTCTGTTGAAATACTTACATTATTTCTTTATACTTTTCGTAAATAGATAACGATGTTCATATGAATAAACTGAACAATCGTAAATTGAGACTTTCACTACAATTCTTGTGATTTATATATCTCCAAAGACCTATGTTATGTGATTGGAAACAATCGTTAGAAAACCCTGGACCTAGGTTTCGTGCTTGTTGACATTCACCAGTCGGCAAGGCTTATCTGCAACCTTGAAGGAACTTATCTCCCTGCTGAGATTCGATCGGGCGTCACCCAGTGATGCAGTCAAATATGTTACCACTGAGATATTCGGGATGGTGATTGACCTCCTGTAGGAACTGTAATGGATACTTTGAATGTTCACTAGGTAGTAAGCAATGTCATGTGTCTAGTGCTCTGGTTACTGCTGAACAAATTCAGTCAGTAATGTAATGAGATGTAGGCCAATGGCAAAATTACAATTATTCGTTTGAAGAGGGAACATTTCTAGGCGAAACTGCATGAACTATTTTCTAGTCGATTGGGGAAATAATTCGCATAATGTGCACTAATTAGATACTTATGCTCAGAGTTATGCAACAGCGACAACACGCTGGGATTGTAGCAGGAATTTTGTAATAACAGGGTAACCGGAATTCACAGAGAGAAACAGACAGACAGTTAGATAATGTCCAAAGCCTACAATATAATTAGTCTATAGATTTCTCAAAGAAATTCAAACACCTGGTATTAATGAAATTACAATTAATGACTGTCACACTGATAGAAATAACTAATAAAATGGACAACTTACTAAATGACTTTTAAAAATAAGTCATATCGCTACTCTACTGACGTTCACAAGTTCCATCACCACTTTCATCCTGATCCCGTACTTCAGTACTATTTGTGCGTCGGTGGCACAGTGGTAGAGTACTCGCCGACCACGCCTCGTATGGTCTGGGGTTCGATCCCCAGTCACCGATGCACTCCTTTACCTCGCTAAGCCAGTAGTTAAACTGGCAAAGGGGGAAGGTTGGGCATGAGGCTAGCAACCCCATCCTGTAAAAACAATCACCACTGCTACAGAAACTTCAAGCCTCTAGCTTGAAGCTCTTTGTGCTACTGGGAACGTGAAGGAATAAAAAATGAGCTTATAAGTTGGAAAGTCTTTCTGCGATATATAAAAGATTGTTATCCTGTCCGAATTGTTGTTTTCTATTTTCTACATCAGTTGATGCTGTTTCGCAGTAAGACTTACTACGACTAAGGTCAATCGATAGGCCGTTCGTTTTGATCACTGTTGTTTAAAGATGTGCATTTAGTTGCAATAGTGGGTAGGAGGATGTTTCATAGTTTGAAAGTTTACAGTAATTGGATTCCTTAATCACTTTTTACAAGATACGGTGATCAGTTAGGCTTAGTCATCAAGTGATATACTGCCAAGTATTCTAATTTCGACTTCATCATTATAGTCCGCATTTTTTTTGTTCAGCAGAGAAAATAAGGAATACTGGCGTTATAATTTGCAAGTGCTATCAGACAGGTGTGACATGCGAACTAATTAGCCATTGATCTAAGAATATTTGTCTACATATGGATGATTGATGACTTCGGTAGTGTTCAGTTTAAACTATGCATTTCTAATGAATGCCGAACCACCGAAGTAAATTCATCTTAACTTTCAGACTAGGAATTTTATCATTATATACATACATGAGAAAACATTATTTTCACCTGCATTTTTTTTATTAATTAGCTTCCCATCAAGGCTGCGTTGTATGTGCAGATGTTTATACAAACTTCTTGGTCATTTAGCCTATGGGAATCAATCAAATGAACAAGCGTTGAATGTTCTATCAACAATTGTATTTTTACGCTTTATCAATCCAGCTGTTGTATCACCGTATGAAAGTGGTTTACTCGACTTTGAACCACCGAGTCGTGTAAAACGTGGTCTTATTCTTATTGGAAAAATGATGCAAAATATTGCAAATCAATTATTGTTTACTAAAGAACCACATATGCGTGTATTCGACTCATTTCTACAAAAGCATTTCGAGTCGTGTATGCAGTTTTTCAAGGTAGGTATTATTTTTGTGTACTTGTTTGTTTGTGTGTGTATGATCATTCACTCATATCATCTTATGTGTCAGGCATTGTATTGCACTAACTAGTTGGAATACGAATATACAGCCGCTTAAAACTTTCGTATACATTGGCGTCTATGCAGTTGATAGGGGACTCACCCAGTAGCTGATACAGGCTACTTTAATACATGCATGACTCAGTTAGGAATCGAACCCAGGATGAACTAAGTCTGTTGAACATTAAGGCAATGAGTTGAAATTCAGTGTCCTATGAATTCTAACTTCGAATAATCGGAGATAAAGTTCTCACGTCAAGCAATGCCATTAGTAAGCTTTCCTTTCAAATCTGACAAGGTAGACCTTTGAAGACCACTCATCGGAAGTTAAGGATATTCACCCTGAAGCCAGCAATGATAAGTACACTAGTATTCAAATTTAGAGTTTTTTTAGGGGCATTTGTTCACAAGCCCACATAAACTGACGCATAAATGAAAACTAAAAAACACTAGGCATTTGTTTAGTTTTGGTTAGAGACATTCCAGCACTATACACTATAATAACCCCATTTAAACATCAAACCCAGAATGAGGTTGGGTGCTTTACTATTCAGCCACTGAGTATGAAAATAGTAGCCTTTGTATAGTCTCCCACTCAGATCCCCACAAGCTCAACACCTGCAAATTAATCCATTGCTCATAATTGACTGGCTATCGGATGGACGTCCTGGAGTTCCACTAGGAATTCGCATTCGGGAGTGAGGAAAGATACTTGCCGGTGATATGAAGAATTAGATCTGTAACACTAAATGTATCCATCTTATTTTTAGGTTTCGCTAATAGCCTGAGGTAAATATTAACTTAATAAAAGTAAGGGTAGACATTCTTATCATTAAACAACACAATAAGCATGAAAATCACAGTCTAGCAGAAAACAAAAGACAATTAATTGATGTAAATATTACAAGGGAGAAGGTTAAAATAGCTAGTTTCGCTTCATTTGTGACTATTTTTGATACATACTTATAATTAATAGAATGGCAAAATCAAAAAGCCCTAGGATATAATATACGACACGTTTTCAGTCATGCACACTATAAGAAAATGAGTGACCTTCGATGAAATCTTTCCAATGTGTAATTATTTGTTGATAAGGATTCATCATTCTATGTATTTTCTGAAGTTAATAATCGTTACTAGTGCTGTTTATAGATGTCAGAGTCGTTAAATTTGTAAAATTGAGTGCATTTATTATTTATTGATTTATTTATTTTATCCCTTTGCGTTCCAAGTGGAACGTAGTGCTTCAAGGTTGAGCTTTGAAGTTTCAGTAGTAGTGGTTTTTTTGTTACGGGTTAGGGTTGCTAGCCTCATATCCAACGCCACCTCTTTGTTAGGCTTAAAACTGTCTAGAGGAGGTAAAGTTGTGCTCGTGCTGGGGATCGAATCCCGGGGCTACGTGTATAGTTGGCGAACATTGTGCTGTTGAACTACCGACGCATAAATTGAGTGTAACTGCACTTTTATTAATCCTATAGTTAAATATTGTGCCTCGATGGCTCAGCGGGAGAATACTCGCCAATCGCTCATGTGGTCTGGAGTTCGGTCCCCGGCCGATGCACTTCCAAACCTCTTTAAACCGGTAATAAGACCGATAAAGAGGGAAGATTGAACGTGAGGCTAGCAACCGCATCCTGTAAAAATAAACACCACTGCTACCGAAGCTTCAAAGCTCCAACTGGAAGCCATATGTTCCACTGGAGACGTAAAGGAATAAAATAATAATAAATAATCGTTGGATATATGAAACTGCGTTTTAAAAACTATCTTAAAAGGGTATTTTATGTTTACAAATTGACTTACTGATATACATATTCAAGTAGTAATAAAGTTTTAAGCTTGATTTTGTCAACTACTGACAACAGCCTAGTAAGCTGTCACAGACTGAGTAGCACTTGGTGATAATTTCGTTCTGGTTTAAGGCTCTTTAGCTGTATACGCTGGCGAGTGAAGATGTTACTACCCTACCAATAGTCTCTAATTTAATGTTCCGTAAACTTCAACTTCCACCAGTCTGAAGTATAACGCTATTACTGTCCACTGTTGACCAACACTAAAGTGAATTTGCGGAAGCGTCTGTGAGAATTTTGAATTAGTAGAATCCATCAAGTTAGATAATGATGATACGCAGCGATTGATTTCATAAAATGACAAACTGGAACTCTAACTCTTCTTGAGAACTAAAGGCCCTGGAAAAGCTGAAAAATAGAAAGGACATCGTCATTCTACCAGCTGACAGAGGAAGAACAACAGTAGTCATGGACAGAGAAGAATACACCAAGAAAGCTGCAGAACTACTCAAAGACGAGGATGTATATCAACAACTCCCAACAAATCCCATACAAACATTAGACAACTGCATCCAAAGAACCTTAAACAAGCTCACCAAAACTGGACAGATCACAAAACAAGACCAATGGCGAATGAAATCCAGTGGACCAGTTCTACCCCGATTCTACGGCAGACCCAAAATACACAAGCCAAATATCCCGTTACGATTAATTGTATCACCCGCAGGAACTCCAACATATAATTTATCCAAAGAATTATACAGAAAACTAAAACACCTAACGGAATCTTGTGATCACTCCATCAACTCTGCTATCCGATTTCTAGAGAAAATCAGAGGCATCCAAATAGATGACCAAGAAATAATGATATCCTTCGACGTCACAGCATTATATACCTCAATCGGACAAAAACTAGCAAAAGAAAACATGGAGCAATTACTCAGCAACGACGAACACCTCCCACAACAATCAAAAATGCAACACACAAGTTGAATGGAATGCATAAACCTATGGCTAACAACATACTTACAATTCAACGACCAAATATATGAACAAGTCAAAGGAACACCCATGGGATCGCCAATATCAGGTCTGATTGCAGAAGCAGTGATGCAAAGGCTCGAAAACATAATCCTACTAAAGATCAAACCCAAAATTTGGATACGTTACGTAGACGACACATTTGTAATAATCAAAAGAAACGAGTTAGATAAAACTCACAACTTAATAAAAACAACGTCTTCAACGACATCAAATTCACAAGAAAAGAGGAATTCGAGAACAAAATCCCATTTTCGGACGTCTTAGTCAAGAGAAAAACCACAGGGGAATTAGAAACTCAAGTTTATAGAAAGTCAACTCACACAGACCAAATACTGAATTACAACAGCAACAATCCAATAACACACAAAAGGAGTTATATACAAACACTATTATTCAAAAGGGACAGGACTCATTGCAGCACTCCCACCTTAAGGAAAATTGAAGAAAGATATCTCATGGACGTCTTCCAAAAGAATGGATATCCAAGGAATTTCATCAAAAGACATATACCCCAAGCCAACCTATCAAACCAAAAGCCCCCAAGGAAAGCACAAAGAAAATCGCCTTACCATATATAAAAGACATCTCAGAAATCACTGAAAGACTCTTCAAACCTTTAGGAATTGACCTCGCATACAAACCAACAAAATCGCTTCACTCAGTTGGCTCTATGTCAACCAAAAGACTCAACAACGAAATAAGGTAAAACCAACATCATCTACAAAATAAATTGTAACAACTGCGAAAAACACTACATTGGCCAAAGTGGACGTCTCCTTCGTTTTCGTATCCATGAACATAAGCTAGCCGTCAAAAGACATGACATCCACTCCCTCGCTCATACCACTACATGCAGACAACCATGGACAACAATTCGACTGAGACAACCAACGTTCAAATATTAGACAGAGGAAACACCAAGAATGCTAGAGAATTTTTAGAAGTAGGCCTGGTATTCCAGTGAATCGTCAATCAATAGACACATCGAGATAGACAAAATTTACCAACCTATAAGAAGGGAATCTCTCACACACAAAGGGTCAAAGTTCAAGTCAAGGAAACAATCAACACCAACACCAATGCAAGTAGCTGCTTAGAGGGTGTGAAAACACACAAAACAACCAATCACGACGTTGAAGGTCATCCACCAGGAGAGATGACTAATAAACTCGTGGAGAAATCTAAAAGCTCACTTCAACGAATTGAAGTATGCGCTGAAGATGTTGCCTAGTAGGGCAATGAAAGCTTCGCAAATAAACTATCCAGCTCAGAGAACACAACTACATCAAAATCATCCACCTGAGCTACAAATCTTCTCCATCATATCTAACTCTGACTGTTTAAGCCCCATTGGGTAGTAACGTTCTGGACTCTTCGAATGATGATAGTTTATTCGATACTTTGTCGGCTTACGTGTGTGCTCTGCTGAACAGTGTCAAAGTAGAAGTAGTGACTGTCAAATGCTTCTCACTTCTCAATGGTTCTTTAGATCATTTAGCTTACCGATGAAAATTCTGTCAATTAAACTAATCGTTATCATAATAAACCTTTTGAATTTACTCAAATAGTCTTGTTTTACTAAATTTCAGTGTTTCAGTGAAAAAAAGCTATTGTAAAAAGTTTCAAGATGACTTTATTTCTCTAATCAGAACATTTGATTTGTTATTTTCAGGCAATTGTCGAAGAATCTACAAAAACTGACAAATCAATAAATCCTGCTACATTTAACGGTCTATTAGATCCTCTAATAAATAACACTGGTCAGTTAGTTGTCTCATCGTCTTGGTTATCTGGTGCATATCCAAATTCTGTCACTGCAAATCCTTTGGAGGCTATTGTACCGCTTACAAGTGATAATATGTCCTCAGTATCAGGTTGTACGAATACAGGTGGTGTGGTGGCGGTGGCGGTGGAGGCGGCGGCGGGGGAGGAGGAAGTTGTATGATGTCTTTCATCTCTGATGACCTTATGTACGCTTTGCATCGTTTACTGTTTACTAATCAAAGTAAAATTGGAGACTATCTGGCTAGCAATCGGTTAGTTTTGTATTGTTATTCGCATATATTTCTACTAAATAAAGGAATATTTACAAAACCTAATATATAATAAGCTTTTTTTGAAATAATACAGAAGATTTGTAGTTCAGGTAGATGATTTGCAATTAGTTTTGTTCTCTGAGCAGCTGGTTGATTTAATCGCAAAGCTTTCGTCGTCCTTCTGGACAACATCTTCAGCGCAAGTTTTAACATAAAATGGACTATTTCAAATTCTCTATGAATGATAGAATTGTGTCTCCTGGCAACCATGTTCGTGACTGGTAGTCGATTTACATCTTTATTGATCATTTTTTTATTGACTTGGATTTTGAACCTACTCACCACGTGATTGGGATAATGTCGAAATTTTAAACAGAGGAAACACCAAAAGTGCCAGAGAATTCCTAGAAGCCTGGTACTCAAGCGAACCAGCGATTAACAAACATATTAATATAGACCAAATTTACCAACTCGTAAAAAGTAAATCACATGACAAGAAAGTCGAACTCCACGTCGATAAAAAATGATCAATAAAGATGTAAATCGACTACCAGTCACAAAGATGGTTGCCAGGAGATACAATTCTATCATTCATAGAGAATTTAAATCAGTTCATTTTATGCTAAAACTTGTGCTGAAGATGTTGTCCAGAAGGACGACGAAAGCTTCTCAATTAAACCAACCAGCTGCTCAGAGAACCAACTAATTGCAAATAACAAGTGTTTATAAACATTTGTAGCCATTTATCTATCCAGTAATGAATACTAACTCCTTAAAATAATTTTACAATTGAATTACCGACAGGAATAAGTCAGTAAGACAGCTATTACTACTACTACCACTACAACAACCTGTCACCATAATGATGTGTTAGTTACTAATTTCCTAAGCGGCAGTTCATTCTTGTCAGTCGTTCCACTATGTTTATCAGTGGAGGTTTTCTTTATTACTAATTTTCAAATGTTGACAAACCCAAATGAATTTCTCCGAACCCCAGTGTGTTGAGGTTGACAGGTGATTGAGATAAAGCATGAGTTTCCCTCCCAAATGAAACACACACACACGCTGTCATTACTTAATTCAATTTAGATTTACCTGTTGATTGATTGGACCGAAGTGTTCGGCTTCTGTTCATCTGTGCGGATGCATCGATGATGCCTGAGGACTTGAAGTAATTTGATGGATAAGGACTAGCAGTAGGATCACTCAACATGAAAATCCAAATTGATACCCATTGCACAAGAGATGGTGACTATCGTGGCCCAAATGGTCTAGTGGATAACGCTTTGACGTTTGAAACGATGAGCACTGGGTTCTAGTCTCAGAGGGAACACCATCGATGACTGGAGAATGCAGGTACATCCAATTGACGAGTTCAAAAGAGGACGAAATGTGCAGCATGGATTCCACCACTGCTAGTCATCATCCACCAAATTAATAAACACTGTCAGTTTTCATCATAGAATAATTTTGTTTGATAAAAATTCACTCTGATCCGCTGTCATTCCCTGGTGACGTTTTGAGCACTATTCATTCGTCACATAACCTATTACTTAGATTCCTTTGGTTTTATCGATAGTGGCATTTTTCATATCTCTGGTACTGGTGCTGTGTTATGTGATAAAGATTCAGCTATCAACGCCTCCCTCTGTCTATTTGTAATGCTCTTTAAAATTGTAACCTTAACCCCATCCCCTTTTTTAACATTTGATTGTGTGTTAGTGGATGCATTGCGATTACTATAAGTAGAACAACTGACCGCACGAAGATAAATGGTTTGGAGAAAAACTCAGCTGGATGGAGGATTTCGTCATGAATTGATATCAGTTAGAGAACCATTGGGAAATCAGCACTGGAGTACTGGAAAGCTGTTTCGTCCTAGTTTGGGACTCTTCGACATTACGCATCCACTGGGGTTCGAACCCAGAACCTTCTGGTTACAAGGCGAGCTCGTAGACCATTGAGCCACTGGCACCAGTAGTGCTGAAGAGTCCCAAACTGGGACGAAACGGTTGTCCAGTACTCCCAGGTTTTCGAGTGTTTCTCTAACTGATGTCAACTCATGATGAAATCCTCCATCCAATCAAACGAAATCCCTACAAAACTAATACTTGAAAAACTCAGTTAACACAATGCATGCATTAACACAGAATCACACAACAGGGTGAGACAGAGTTACAGTTTTAAAGCGTAATATAAATAGGACGAGAGAGACGATCATCACAATCTTTGTTCATCCGATCTACGGTGAGAATGACGCAGCACCAATACCAGAAATATGGGAAATATTACTACCAATCGAATCAAGGGATAAGAAATAATGCAATTATTCAAGCGAAATTGAATGCCTTTATATGATTATAAGCAGTAAATTGTACTGGAAACGTTGTCATCAATAATAAACAATACTGTATCGCTGTGATGGAATAATACTCTACCATAGTACCCAAATTCTGTTCTTACATCAGTGTCACTTATATTGCATGTTAATGATGGGCTACCAGTCTTTATATCCAACTAGTTTATTCATTTCACAAAGATTCAAATTTGTTGTTATTCCGTTAGTGTTTGATTGGACACTAGTAACTAGTGTTATGCGTCTAGTCCTTTCTTTGGTGCAGACTGAATTCTATCAGTCAGGTTTGCAATGTGCCCACCACTATCTAATATCATCAAATCGATGTGCACCGTGATGGCGAGCTACCTAGAATGGTGCGACGTATTAATTTTTTACCCACTTTTCTAAATTTTCAGTATTGTGATGCGAATTATTTATAGTGGTATAGAAATTGTGGTTCAATCGTATTTACTTAGTAGCTTTCTTTTTTCTCAGTTTTATTTACGTGATTTTCATTTGGGTGTCTTATCTAAGATCACGTTAATCCCTATGTTTCGCGTTGAAACTAAGTTCAAAAGGCCTGTGGAGAAACATGAGAAACATCTAGATTATCATTATTATTATTGTCCCCTTGCCTTCCTAATGGAACATAGGGCTTCAACAAAACATCTCTACTTTGTCCGGCTCTCTGAGGTCATCTTAAGCTTGCCCTACGACCGCCCATATCCTCTTTTCTCCTCATCACACGACCACCTTCCTGTCACCCTCGGACCGACGCCCAACTCATTGTTTCCCATTCGGGTTTGATTCCACTTGAGAGACTGTATTACGCTGTAAAGTCACCCAACAGTCTCCTCAGCGTGTGTCCGATTCATCTCCATTTTCTACAAGCATATTTGTTGAGTAATAGGTTCTTGGTTGGTTCGTTCCTGGAGTTCCTTGTTTCTGATTCTTTCTGGTCTTCAATATGGAGTCAGCGAAGTCAGTTGTTGATAAAAGTCTGCAGCAGCCTGTTGGAAATGCTCTTCGTGACGCGCTGGTCAAGTCTCTCACCTATTTAGAAGAACTGACTAACTTGACATTGGTGTTGAAAATCCGAATCTCGTTTTTTATGCTGAGTTAGTGTAGAAGATTTCCAAACTGATTTCACAGTGATGAAGGTCTGTCTTGCCTTTCCAATGAACCTGGTTTTGACATCTTCACCCATGACATCCGCCTGTAATTGAAACGATGTTGCATAGGTAAATGAAGGAGGCGACCTTATTGGTACTTATTGTTGTTGTTGTGGTTGGTTGGTTATTTTCATCACCAGTGTCTTCTCTATGTTCACCCCTGAAGTCCTGTTCTTGCTACCCACTTCTTTGGTCAGGTTTTTGGTTTACGCCTGTAGATCTTCGACTTTATGCGATATACTAGACATAAATCATTGTATTATAAGTATTGGAATACGAATAACCTTCAGCCTCCTACTCACTTATCAACTGCATAGGATACCTCATGTATTAAACATTGACAGCTGACAACTTAATTAAATAAATCAGCCGAGTTGATGAACTGAGAGTACTACTCCTGTTCTAATATTATTTTCATACACCCCAGATCACTTTTAACTTCAATGAATGAATTGTATATTACAGTGAATAAAGTGTGTTTCTATTTTTTTTTTCTTAACTGCAGTGATTGGAAAGCTGTTGGTCGACAGCCTTTTGATAAAATGGTGACATTATTGGCACATCTTGGTCCACCTGGACATAAATCTGTTGACTGCATGTAAGTTTTCCTTTATATAAAGTATAAATCAGTTAATCAGTCACTTGAATCTCTAATATTGCATAAGATTAATTACTTAAGAATTGTTACACTGAACATTAGGTTACAACATTTATTGCAAAAATAAGAATAACTTTTATATTATATTTTTTTATCCCTTTACGTTCCCAGTGGAACATAGGGCTTCAAGCTAGCAGTAGTGATTGTTTTTACAGGATGGGGTTGCTAGCCTCATGCCTAACTTTCTCTCTTTACCAGTACTAATACTGGTTTAGCGAGGTAAAGGAGTGCGTCTGTAGCCGGGGATCGAACCCCGGACCAAATGAGGCGTGGTCGGCGAGTACTCTACCGCTGTGCCACCAACACACATACTTTTATATTATGTTGTATACGTGCTAGTCTTGGATCGATAGACTATAGATGAGTACTACTCGTAATAATCCTAGTAAAATTATGACCTAGTTAGTCAGTAAGTCTCATAGCTGAGCTAGTAGAGCTTCGGGGGCCAGTAATCTGAAATCCACTGGTTTGATGAAACCTATTGCAACCTAGACTGTCATTTTAACCTCAGTCAACACTCCTTAAAACAAATATCATTTGTTTTGTAAAAAATAATATTGAATCAAGTAGCCTTTTTCTTCCTTTAAACAATTTGAACTGAATTATTTTAAATAAGGCATTTAGAAGACAAATTTCGCGAAATATCATTCCTTAGTTTCTGTACAGTCGCTTTACAAATAACATGCTTCACAATAATAATAAAATAAAATGCATGAAAAATACTCATTTGGATGGAGGATT